CGAAATATTAGAACTACAAAAACAATTACCAAAAAAGAAAGTACCCGACACACACGAAATACATAATAGCCATTACAAATTAGAGTATTTCGAAAAAAACCGCTTCATCACGTAACAGGTCAATAAACGAGATCGACACGCGAACTTTAATTGTATCTAATTAATTTATTACATGTATTAAACAATTAACACGGGTCGTATCTTGATGCATTATTCTTATTGAATTTCGGTACTGTTACTCTTTGTACATTGGATTATCTTTGGTAGTTAATTAATGGGGTTATTTTCATCACGCGATACAAATTTTGTTACTTAGATGTTGTGGCACTAACAAATTGACTTAATATAACTGTTAGTTATTAAAGCTTTGTCTTTAAGAATCTGGAAACTTTTTGAGCCCATGAAATAAGTATCGTAGATTAACAAAAAGTTTAGTAACGCGGAAAAAATACAACAGTACTTTGAATCAACAACTTTGTGAAATATTATGAAGTTACGACCGTTTTTCTATATCTTTCTACTGACCTGTAAAAGATATAATAATAGCATAATAACGCACAGACTCATACCCTAGGGAAGTCTTGTACCACGGGTGCCATGGACAATGGACACACATAAACAACTACAAATTACACCTAAACTCACGAGAGAAATAAAAGTAAGCCATACAAATATTTCCTCTTTTATAGTTATAATTTACATATGCATATAACAGTTTACAGTATATTAAAATACAGGCAGGAATAACCTATATTATAATATAGTGTTATACAACGACGGTCTATTGGAATATATAGAATGTAGATACATGAAAGTGGTGCTATGACAAAAAAGATCTATTGTTCTAACGTCCGTTGTTGACCAAAAGATTTTTTTATTCATTTTCAGTGTTATTTCACGATCTGTTGATATACTATACAAACACAAAGTTTATACGTGTATATGTAGGTAGGGCCGAGACAAATAATTTAATAGTTAATTTTGTTGTTGTTGTTGTTCTTGTTGTTGCTTGTTTAGCCATATACTGTCTAATGAAGGCTGATGTAGGGAACGTAACGACACGGAAACTGAATTGTTCACATATATGCAATGGTTTGAAAGCTATATTACGTCGGAAATTAATTTTCGATTTCATTACACTCCCTTCGGCAAATCTTCCCCATTTCCATTAGAAAGTTGTAATAAGAAAATCAGACAATACAAAGTTATTGCCAACAAATGTGTTTAGGATTCGTCCGCGTACGGCAAATGGCGAAACGATTGCCAATTTGCCAACCCTACCCTGTCTTAATTGATGCAGACACTACTTAAACTAGCTGGAGAGACAGAGATGGAGCTAGGTTTAGTATTGCTATAGGCATATCTGTTGATAGTCGAGTAGGAATTTAAGGATTTAAATGCTTTATCTGGTGAATTTGCCGAGAGGTTTCCAAATACCGTTAAGACCAAATCATATTATTACCTTCTTTGATGTTTATTCAACATTATAAAAGATCAGTTTTCAGTTAATCAGTTTTGGTTTATGAAAGGTTATTACTGTGAAATTTTATACAATAGAAAGTTTGTAACTTATTTAATATGCTTTTTGGACGAAACTTAGGATCGTATAACAAAATAAAATGCCGACTGATCGCATTATTTCTGCTCCGTCTCTGCAGGGTACATAGGAAAAGTAATTTGTCATCGGTTAGCTAAGTAGGAAGGTGGAGGGGAGCATTCGCGAACCAGCCACCGCGGAGGTAGCACGTCTCCTCTAATGACATTCCCCATAATTAGGAGCACCACCATCTACTAATTACATAAATTGCCCACTAAACTCGGCTATAATTTTGGCCCGTTTAAACGGCTTAAGCTGCTGAAATGGGATAGTTGCCGTAAAGATACATCTTGATTATCTATTAGGGAGCAAGTATGGAGTAAATTGATTGTTCGAAACGAGGTTACCTTCAAATGAGTTCTTTGGAACACGCTATCGTGTTTCATTCAGTAAAACTACCTGTAATAATAAATGAAATTGTGATACATAACAATGATAGAATGAAATAATAATTGTGAGTATTAGTTCTAGCCAATAATTCCACTTTGTTTGTAAAATTTATAAATATTTAAATATAAATATCTGTATCCGAAACAGATCAACCAACAATTAGCCAGTCATCCAGCAACGTGGTCGACGGAATAAATCTAGAGGACATCAAAGAGTTTGCAAAGGCATTCAAACTTCGGCGACTTGGTCTAGGGCTCACTCAGACTCAGGTTGGACAGGCATTGTCTGTCACGGAAGGACCCGCATACAGCCAGAGCGCGATCTGCAGGTAAGAATTGAAAAAAAAAAACTAATTTAAATATTGAATGTTTGTGCAGCTGAAAGTTCTAAATTAGAGTTTGAATTTATTTTTTTACAAAGTTATAGATATTTTATAATGAAAGTGTGTGTTAATAAGTACTCAGAACCAAAAAACAACTGCTTGCAAAAAAGGTACATCCATTTGAAATAAACTTTATGTTCAGCTGCACAAATACTCATAATGTTTCTATTCTCCGCGTGGAAAATAAAAAGAACAATAAAAAAGACTGGAGATACTTATAATAAAAAAATCCTGAGATAACATCTTGTAATAGAGAGATAAAGTCGCACGCTTGTCAAAATAATGTGACCGTTTGCGTCCAACCCCTCTAGCTGACAATAAATGGCCGAACGTTCCTCTAAAAGAAACGGTCGTCACGCAGACCTGAGCCCAGTTATCATTCCAACTTTTTAATATCGTTAATTGAAGTGATTTGTAAAACAGCATGACTCCTTTCATTGCTTACAATTCGGTTAATTAATTACCATTCGGACGGCTTCCGTTCGCTTGGCCTGTCGTGGCTTACACCATTTTGTATTCGTCTAGGCGCGGGCGCGTGCGATAATTTTTTTTTATTGTAGAGGTGAGTTGTGGGACTGGAATAACCTGCCTGTTTTATATTATTTTACATTTGTTATTTCATTTGAAATTTCACTAAGTGAAATGAAATATTGTATCAGAAATATAATGAACGTTACCTCTGTCGATTTATTGAACTCTTTACAAGGACTAAGTTTATTAACTTCGTAATTAATATTAAATGATTGTACTGCCAAATACAACTTAGACCTTACGAAGAATTATTAATGTTTCAGTCCTGCTTTACAGCTCATAATAGTTAATGGAACCGATTCAAATCGTTCCAGTAACATCGATGAACAAATCGGAATTCGATGCAAAACGGAATGCGACCGAACTCGGAGGAAATTTCAATCCACCCCAACAGACCTCCTTCGTATAATAAAATCATTAATCGTTACTTCTGTTCCAGTTAATTAATTATCTTGCCCGTAATTACTTTTTTCGTGTAATTAAAAGAGTAGAATTCCCCTGTCTTTGTCCTGTCGTGATTTCATTTTCCATTAATTTTTCTTTCTGCTCCCTTCCAATTTGGTGCCCTAACGTAGCTACATGGTAGTTACCCCTTTGATTATACTGGACTTAATTAATTTGCATTTTAATTAAAATATATTATTTGAGAAAAGAATGATCTCAACACTCCTTGTTTGAAGTAGCAATTTTATTTAAATGACAGCAAAATTTTAATAATGGACGCGACTTCAAAACAGTTTGTAATTTGAATTTAAATTAGCAATGGTACAGAAGTTGAACCTACAACTAGTCTGCTAATGAATCGTTCAAGTCTCGTTTGAGTGACATTTTGTAATTTATTTTATCTTCACATCCAATTCACCTTTTTTCTACGACTCATTGAACAGTCTATAATACTATGCTTTTCTCTACATTATAAATTATTCCGAAACAATCAAAAGACGTTCGTTCACTTGCATGTCACATTGTTGTGTCAGTTAAAACATCTAAACACATTTAGGCACATTTTTGGTCAAGAAACGTGTGTTCTTTTAAATAGTTAACTGGTGGTCACTGTAACAAGCTACAAACGCTGTAGATTTAGTAGACAATGAATTTTACATCAAGGGAGCATACTGATAATTCGATGCATCCATTACACTTTCATGATTTAGAGTGCGTCAGGAATCTAACATGTTAAGTGATTCGAATAACATTTAGCTTTGACGCCTATTTTAGGAAATGGAGAAGATTGTTTTTGGATTTTTTAATCCTCAACAAGAAGAAAAGGTAAAGAATTTATAAATATTTTAACCATAAATTCTAACAAACTCAAAGTGTTTACGTGACGTATTTGTGAAGTACTTCCTGTTTAATACTTTACATGTTGGACTGTAGGTTATATCAATTTCGTTGTATGAATGAAATATATAAAAAGGTAGACGAATGATGATTAATAAAGAATAAAAATGCTTTTCAAAGCTGAGTTAGATCGTACAGTCGATGCTCTAAGATACTTGACCCCCTAGCATACCTTTTGGTTTTGAGAGCCTTCTTACGCATACAAATTTTCGATCAACAAGCTGTAATTCTTGTACATCTTTACAAGAATTACAGCTTTTTGATTGAAAATTTGTATTTTATGTAATGTAATTAAGGATCAAATTGACTTTAAAACTTTCTTAAAACGTCATTCACTAATATGCAATAAGGAAGTCATACCAAAATTAATTTTACGGCTCCCAGAAACAAATAGAGGAGGGAAGGAGAGAGTGAGGGGGTCAGGTATCTTAGGACATCGACTGTACGTCTACACAGTTACAACAAAGTGTTAGAAATGGCAATTAGTAAGGAAAACGATATCATCAATTGAACATCACAACTAGTTCTACACTTAACATCTTTTAAAGCATTGTGTGGTATTTACATAAGTATATCTATAATATTTTGTGGATCCCACTCACGAAGCGTGCGGCTTTGATCTTCATTTGTTTAATTATGTATATGGTTTTAAACTTTGGTGTTCCATCAGAACCTGGATCCTTTCCACTGGATAAGACAATTCTAACAAGCTCTTTGTTACCGTCCCCAGTGCCCTGGCTTCGCAGATGTTAGCCGCTCAGCTGTCGTCACAACAACAAAACATGTATGTGTTTTGTTTTATATTCCATTACGACTATCTCCGAAATTATCCTCATTGTTCTCTTAAGTTTCAACTAATTATATCCCATAAAAGTAAGTATAAAAAGACAATGAAGATAAATTTGGAGATACTAAACGTAAATACATTAAGCACACGCTTTGACTTACTTTCAACAGCCCAGTCCACACGTAGATTGTCTTTAAATCAAAATGTTTCAACGCTGTTTAATGCAATCTTATCTACGTCGACGATCACATACCTTTTGAATGTATGCCGTATGTAATTTTACGTAATTACCGGTTTTGACGTTCTTTCTTTTCCTTTTCACACGTACAACCTTATTTGCATACGAGTAATTACAGTAAGACGCCGTGAATCATAGTTACATTTTGATGTAAGACAAACGCGATACACTGAATATGCCTACAGCTACAGACCATGTCCATTCGACATCATGACTGATTGTTGTGAGAAAAATATCATTGTGACTCTATGAATAATTTCCAAACTTTCCATCTAATGTAGCATGATGTATTATTTCATTACTCTTATTTTTATTATTATTCATTTTGCGCAATTCAAAAGCCAGGGCATTGGCATACGCTACCTTTCGTTTCTAATTGAATTCGTTGTTTTATTGTTACCGGGATCGGTATTAATCAAACTGATTACCCCGGCAGCCTAAATTGCCCATTGTTTTTTGTTTCACTCTATAATCATTAACGCAATGTCAATGTCCTGTATTTACGCCTATGTTAATTTGGAAAGGAGTATATGCCGCGTCGAGGAATGCTTCATTAGAGCTCGCCGCGTTTATTTTGTTTCGGTGCGTGTAGACGACTCTAACATTCGGATTTATGTTCGATACAGATTTGAGAAATTGGATATAACACCAAAAAGTGCGCAGAAAATCAAACCGGTGCTCGAACGTTGGATGAAGGAAGCCGAGGAGAGGTAAATATGCCTGTTTGAGTGGTTTTTCGTGGTTTGTGCCGGCGTGTACGTGAATATTTGGCCTTGCTTAGCGACATGTGGAAAATATTTCTCAAATCTGGACTAACTACGCTTGTACGGGCTAGGCTTTATGTTTTGGTACCGCTATTTTCAATTTTATGCTAACACACAACATGACCTAACCGTGCGTTGCCTTTGTCTATCGAAATTAGGAACACAACATTTATTTCACTGTAGAAGTAAATTCGCGACGTGCTTGATTGCCACACATTGTTACATAATAAGGGTTCATAAGTACTTAGTCATATATGGTGTTCCATAAACAATTTTAACAAGAAGTAAATGTTTAGTGCTAAAATGAGTTATTTTACCTTTTATTTCGTGTTGCAGTGACAAAAGCTGCTTTATTAATAACAGACGATATTTTTAGAACACTAATTGTACTTCTAGTCAAAGTTGTTGTTACAGACACTTGTATGTTCCAAAATTTCAAAATCTTATTTTATCATCCTCACTTTATTTAATTTTTAGCGTTTGTTGTGTTCGTCTTTCCTTGTCCTTATTTTTCATAATTACACAGATGTATTTAACGGGATCTAAACTCTTTCCTTTCCATACCATAGATAATATAAAAGAAATCATGATGTCGAGTGTAGTGTTACGTTAAGGATAGTTGTATTACACATACACACATTGTTAGCTCAATAGTATATTTATTTTATGTTTTGTACTACCTGTTTTAAATATAGTGCCTATTCCACTAAACCAAAAGCCCAAAAACAATTCTAGAAAATAAATTCTTATTTACAATTTTTCGGTTACTTTCCTTTCTTTTACTGCTGACGAAGTAAGAGTATTCTCATGAGACATAGGTCTTTATGGAAAGACGTCTACTTTAGTTATTCGGGTTTCGAAACACAGGAGCTTAGCTAAATCTTAACCGTTATACAGTTACTTAATATAACACCTGTCAATGTGTTACCATAATTATTATTAACGCGATATAGAATGATATTGGACATAAAAAAACGTTAAATGTCCTTAACTGGACTTCAAGGTATCAAAACAAACCAGATTTTAACATCTCGTTAAATTTTCATAAGCACCGCCAGTACCAGGTGTTACTTAAGTCTTTAACTTGGACGTAATGACGTCGCGCAAGAGCCGGTAGGATCTATCGATTTTGCATTTTACATCATTAAAATGCATTATCTGGATGCAGCGGGGCGGTCTTAACATTGCAAATTGTGCAATTTGCAATCGGCCTCTCTCGGTGGTAATTTTTAACGAGCGACAGTTAACGATGGTCCTTGACTTAACATTGGACCGATTTCTCTAGTTTTTGATATTGCATTGTTTATACGTTTTGTTATGGAGATACACACGAATTGAGCGACTACGTCTTCCTATGTTTTATAACGTAACAACTTCAAAAATGGAAGGGTTCGAAATTCAACTGTATTTTTCGGGATTACTCTGACATTTGTGAACCGATTCGAATAATTACTCTTATAATGTTAAAAAGGAAGTAACTTCAGTAGTAGTCCTATTCAAATTTGAAAAAAAATCTCACCTCTAAGTATGATAAATTAGGGGATGAATCCGGTTTATTTCATTTCACCCACCCGTTAACCGATTTGAACAAAACTTGGCAAGTAGAAGTCATTCCGCAAATTGTCGAGGTCGTTTTTTTTTTGTTATAAACAAGCTACAATTATTGTTAATGTTATTGATTGTATTTCGAAACTTAAAACTGGCTAGCCAAAAAACCGTACAGTCTTTGCCAATAACTATCTTCAAACACCCACTTTTCGTTAAACGACTTTAATAAAACTTGGCACTTAGATGTAATTCCAATGAAAATAAAATGTTATCGTGACCTAGAGCTGATCTGATGATGGAAATGGCAGACAGATGAGAGGAACTCTTCAACAGTTTACAGCAGCTACCTTGTGTTTCTGCTCATATGATATATTTTCACAAGGACTTCCGCATATATTTCAGTTTTCGTTGAGGAGACCGTGTTATCAAACTTTTGAGATCTTTTTGTAATAAGTTATAATTAACCGACTTCAAAAAACTGGGAGGTTCTCAATTCGGCTGTTTTATTTTTTTTGTATGTATGTTACGCGATAACTTCAATGAACCGATTTTGATGATTCTTTTTTTGTTGGAAAGAGGCTACCTCAATGTTGGTCCCTTTTAAATTTGTAGAAAATATTCCGCCTCTAAGAGTAGCAAACTAGGGGGTGAATCCGATTTCGCGGATTTGGCAAACCGATGATTTTTTTTAACTTGAAAAATCCTTTTCATGAACGATGGTGACGTGTTATCTGAACTTAACAAAATTCGAGACTTTCATACTAAAGGGATTTATGGAGACCGTCGAGTCGATGTCTTGACAAAAAGTGGTCGGTCACCCTCCGTGTAACTAATATGCAGTACTGATCGATTTGAAATGGTGGTACGGAATACGGAGATCCAAATTCTAAATCCCTCGGTGAATTTTATTCTTGCATTCAGAATGCATTTTCTCAACATACTAAACATCATAAATTTAAAATTATTTGGTTACAAATTCACATATTCATGTATTTATAGAATTCAAATTCGTCTCCATTATGAAACCAGAGTAAGCTTTAATTTCCATTGGACACGCACAAGGCTTCAGTTGAACTTAAGTATTTTTGACTCCTTCTTTCGAAATCTGCTATAGTGACTCGGTTGATTAGTGTGAAAACTGCACTATTAAAGAAATCCTTAAAATTATAATGTTTTATTTTTGGATCTATTAGCGTAGTTTGCGTGAATTCAAAACGTAGTAGCAAATTTTTTCGTCCTTCGGGACAGGCAATGGCGCCTAATTGGCCATACTGCCAGATCCTATCTTATAATTTTTGTTCAATATTTTAATGTTCTGGCATTTTTTCGCGGGAAATTGTTATATCTTATACGGTGGCCATTTTCAAACTTCGAATTCAAAACGAAACGAAAAAATCCAATGCACAGAGTTGCCACAATTCAAAAAAACACCTTACAAAGTTTTAAGGCTCTGGATAAAACTTATTTCCAACAACGTGACACCTATACCATATTTTTAAGTGTTGATAAAGGGCTCAATATTTTTAACAGGTCAATTTTGAAGTTCTGACGTTGTGTAGGTACTTATTTACTAAACAAATACATAAGAAACCCTTATTAATAAATAAGTATTGTACTATTTTCAATTGCCTTCACTGTGATCCCTTTGTATAATACAGAAACATATACACACTTACACATATGCAAATGTACCAGAATCTTGTGAAAAAATTTTTGAGGTTCATACTTCTTTGTGTTATTTATTAAACAAATTTAATGAAAAAACATATTCAGCAAAATCTTTAACACAAGATTCTGGTTTAGCATTTAACCACATTAAACTACGTGCATGGCTTTCAACTTTTGACTAATAGATTGGGCTGTTTTTTTAACTAACTCTAAAACGTCGACTTTCAAGCCGAAACCTAAAGTTTCCTGAAAATAATATTATAAGTACACATTTTCATTTAATTGACAAACGTATTCTGTTTCATAATGTGTCTTTTTCTTTGAATAATTAGGTCCCGGCTTGACTTCGACGGACGAGACAATCTGCACAATAGGTAGGTTCTTATACCTAGCATGCTTTACAGTTTAGTGGCCATGTTACGTATATATATACAGGGTTATTTGTTAAATATGAACAATCTCGCAGGACTATATTGCTAACGTCATAAAAAACAAGTTTTGTTCTCTTCTTAATCGCTTCCTCACTGCTGAGGACCGTGACTCCACTTCATCCTGCCAACCATGTGCCTCCTTCGGTTACGCTCGATCGCATAATGTAATTGGCGCTGACAGATATCTCCAGTTGCTCGGAGATTTGATCTGACCACTTTTTGGGACTCCTGCCCTTAGGTCGTTTTCCCTCCATCTTCCCTGTTACCATCAAAGGTTCCAGATTATCAGCATCTCTACGTGACACGTGACCAAAATAGCGTACCACACGCTGCATGCAAGTTGAAGACAGACGCTGTGCATTCTTTATCTTGAGTTCCTCAAGTATAGATACATTGGTGCGGCGGGCTGTCCACGGTACCCTTAACATTCTGCGCCAGCGCCACCTTTCAAAGGCGTCAATTGTTTGCCTGTCGGCGGCTTTCAGAGTCTATATCTCTGCACCATATTTTAATTTCATACAAGAATGAAAATATTTACTAGATCGCTCTAAACGATGATAAAAACGGTCTAGGCAAAACGCAGGAACACGGGTGCGGGCCGGGAAGGACACTTGCACGTTTTGAACTTACTACCTTACATCAGATGTAGATCTAAAAAGTGTCAGATAGTCCAATAAAAACTTAAAAGTTTATTTTCTAGACTTCAAAAAAAAGGAGCAGGTTCTCAATTCGACTGCATTTTTTTGTATGTGTTACGCGATAATGCGGGCCAATTCTAAACCGATTTTGATGATTGTTTTTGTTTATTGTTGGAAAAAGGGTACCTCAGTATAGGTCCCATTTCAATTTGAAGAAAATGTTCCACCTCTAAGGATGGTAAACTAGGATGGATGGATGGATAGGATGCATCCGGTTTCACGCACTTTCCGGTAACCGATTTCAATAAATAAAACTTGACAAATACCTATATGTAATTCCGTGAACTTTTCAAGTCGGTTTTTTTCAATAAAAATGTTACAATTATGGTTAATTAATTATGTTGTGTCATGTAACTAAAGTTATTATTTATAATGTTAGTAATATAGACCTGCAAGGTTGTTAGTGTTTTGCATATAGCCCTTTATATAAATATGTATAAGATTTTAAATATAATTTAAAATCTTTGACCTTCTGGAAGTAGAGTCATTGAAATTACATTTCATATTATTTCCATGACTATACTGATAACCTGCAGTAGATAAATTTGACATAAATTGATGTATTTAATTATGAATGGATCAAATGTAAACTTAACTATTCAGGAATGTAAAAGTACGTAAACTAGAGACAAATTCACGTACTTTGTTAGGTAGATAAATAACTACTTATAAGTTACCTGAGGTAAGTAGGTATGTAAGGATATTTACAATAAATTAAGGTGAATATACTATTCAATTCGCATGTATAATACGTCGCACATGAAACAAAATACTGTCGTGACTCAAAATTGGTGGAATTAAGTAAACAGGATTTGAAAGTTCATTGAATTTACTGAATGGATCTTAATAAGAATAATAGAATTAGTTTTTATCGAGTTCTTAGGTTTTCGCGATTGTTACACATAGGAAATGAAACTATTTTTCCGGATTTAAATCGCGTATATTTGTTTTTTCAAACAAACCGACGTTTCGTGCCCTTTACAGGTCCCATGGTCACGGTTGAAACGTCGATTTGTTTGAAAAAACAAAAATACGCGATTTAAATCCGGAAAAATAGTTTCATTTCCTAGGATTAGTTTTTATATTTAATTATTCCATTCAGTATTTTTTTGAACTTATAAATCGTTTTTTCTCAATTCCACCATATTTAGTTATAACAGTACTTGTTTTCATATGCGACGTGTACATAAATGTAGGTACTTGTTCATATTCCAGCAGATCAGAATGTGGGCAAACGTGAGCCGATAATAAATAAAAAAGCAAGTATAACTTCGGTCAAAAGTATAGCAAACAGCAGGGTAATCTGCTTTTTTGGCCTACGTGAATCGCACCCTTAGTGTAATAAGGCCTCATCTCGCACTGTCAAGACAATAGCATATTGACTCAAAAAGTATCATTATTCAGAATAGATGAAAAACTAATTATTCACTTCCCGTGAAAGGTTTATTATAATTTATTTATAAGTTAAAGTTTATTAGACATCTAAACAATTTCCTGCTTGCCAAATATATTTAAAAATGAAAGTAAAAAATATCTCATATTTTTGAGTAAGAACTGTTTTGTCCAGGACTAGCTCACAAAACGTTAGTCTCATTCTGAGTTTAGCAGATATATTTTAATTTGTTTCTTACAACTTTCTATCAATGGTTTTATTGACTTGAAGAGAATCAATCAAATTTTACGTTCAGAAATTGTATACTTAATCTTGAATTTCACATATTTTGAGTTACAACACTATTGTAATAGCAATGCGTTATAACAACTTCTTAGAAGAGAGGCTTAAAGATTCTACAAACGAAATTAGTCGATAACTTTTTTTTATTTAAATTATGCAATTTCACATGTACATTATTTGTTTCGTGTATTTCGTTAAATTGTAAGATCACATGTAACTTTGTTATACCAAAGATACGAAGTTTACTCTTGCTCTATTGTTATTATATAATTAAGAACGTATTAAGTTACGCTAGAAGACCAATTTTTACCCAACATTCGTTGGCAAAAAATAGATATTTGTTATGCAAGGCTGCAAAGTTGTTTGACGCGAGTGCTTGTATTCAAACTTGAGCAAGCGAAGGAGTCTAAGATTCATTTGCTACGCTCGTGGTTCAAGTGTAGAATCCTGAGCGTAGCAAGGGTTTCAAGGCACGAAACGCAAAACAACTTTGCTGCCGAGCGAAACACACATCTTTTCACCTCACTATAGCGATGTAAATGGTATATGAAAGAAAAACAGTTTAATTATAACAAAACAGTTTTAATAAACAAAATTAGTTATAGAAATTAGTTCAAATTTCAAAAACCACAACAAACGCTGTTGCGCGCAATATTTTATTATAAAGAAAGCCTTTCTAAGCTAGTGAGGTGAAAAAAAAAATATTACGAGACTTTCTTATTTTAAACTACTCAAAAGTGTTTAAGTTGAAATTAGGATTTTTATTAATAGATTGCAAAGTTATGATTATTCTAATTCTAAACACACGCTAGGTTTTGTACCACTGCAGTGATTCCAATATCACACTGTAATTTCAGGTACGCATCTGGCCAGAACCATCTGACTGACTTCATTGGTATGGAGCCGAGCAAGAAGCGCAAACGACGGACTTCGTTCACTCCACAGGCTTTGGAACTCCTCAACGCACACTTCGAACGGAACACTCATCCTTCAGGTACTTACTTATGTTACTTTAATAGGAAGTATTGCCTTACCTTACCTACTTTTTTTTCCGCCAAGCCGTAATATGAGCATTACTGTAGTAGGGATTTTTTACTTTGAATCGATTTTTTAGATCGTAATGGATCATATGCTTCTGAATGTATGCCTTTGAATCAATCTCATTACAATCGTTTCAAAAAATTTGGATAAAAAAAATTTTAACAGCCTTTGTGGCTTCAGTCGGTTACGATTTTCATTTAGAGTGATGTTAACCGGTGAGAAAAGACGTTCAGATGGCACATTAATAGTGACAATCGCCGAATATTGTAGATTTATCAAACAGCATCATTTCTTGCAAGCCAACATAAAAATAGGGGTTCAGAAAGAGACTGTTTTGTTTAAATTATGAATATGATATAGACGATTCCATTCGCGTTAATGTTGAATCGATTTACTTAGAAATCGCATTGAAATGAATCGATACAAAAAATCGCCAGGCCGTAACACTTGAATCGATCTTCATAGTAGTCGAATTGTAATGTGCATCCCTATTTTGAAATTACAGGCACTTGGTGACAATGACCCTCAGATTTTTTTGCGATTAAAAGCTCTGAGTGGCACTTCAACTGCTATGGACAGGCGTGTCGGTTAACACCAAGCTCACGACTTTGTTTGTCCTGTCACTTCGTCCTATCATAAAAAAAACTTAAACATGTTCGGCATTCTCATCATTAATAGCCTCAACGGGAAATTGACACGAAATGCTGTTAATTGATGACCTCTGAGGTCAAGTGGTTTGCATACCGGTTTTTACGGTCTCGCCATCTGAGGTCCCGGGTTCGATCCCCGGTCAGGTCGATGTAGAATTAACTTTTCTATGTTGTCTCGCGTCTGTGTGTTTCTGGTACTGTCGTTGTTTCCGATTTCCATAACACGAGTGCTTTAGTTACTTGCTTTGGTATCAGAGCAACGTTGTGATATTATCTAAGATTTATTTATTTGTTGATGTATACCAATTATAAAGCTAGACAGCAATTTAGGGTGGCCATTTAAAGAAACAACATGTTAAAAAGTACATATTCCTGGTTGCCTAGAATAGTGGCCTAGCTCAAAAACAAATAAGTCAGTTAAAAAAAATATAAAAGCAGACCATGATATCCCTGAGTTAGTTACTACCTTTACATTAATAATATAATTATAGTATTTACGTGTACGCTAAATTTTATTATATGCATAGGTACATGTTTGCTAATAAATATAATACGTTTGTAATGTCGTCACCTAACTATTTTAACTAGTGTAAACATCGGAGTCTTATACATAATAAAATGTAGCACATTCTCAATGCAGTTGCAAAAAAAAAACAAAAAAAAATAGCTATTTTGGTTTGGGCCACTATTCTTGAAATGCAGTGATATTGTCTTTGTTTGTTGTACGTTGTGGATAGTTTCCTTGGTAGTTGGTGTTGCAAATAAAATTAAATAAAAAATATACAAAGTATTTTATAAAGTCAATGAACAATGCATTAATCTATATTTTATCATTTTTTTCAGGCACGGAAATCACTGGCCTCGCGCACCAGTTAGGCTATGAACGCGAAGTTATCCGAATATGGTTCTGTAACAAACGTCAAGCTCTCAAGAATACCGTCAGGATGATGTCAAAAGGCATGGTCTAAACACTAATTCGATGCCATTAAAATTAAACAGTGTTGGTCGAACAATAATATCAGTATCGATGTTTCGGCTATAATCTGCACCCGTTATCGTGATAATTTAAAAAAATAACTTTATTATTTGCACCGATAGTATCTCAGTATTATGTGTAACGTATTTATTCTGATCCTAATACCTACTTCATATTTTTTTTATCGCAACAACTATCCATGAAATTTTGGAATTGAAGTAAAACACTTTTGTTTATATCTCGATGTATATTAAAATTTTGACTGAAATAATTGTCTCGGCATAGTTTACAATTGGAATATTTCTAGTTTAAGGTAGGTGTTTAGTACAAAATAATCAATGTCTCTGAGTATCTCACAGTGTCGAATCAATCAAATCAATCAGTGTTGAAGTACGTATTTAGAGCTAAAAATACCTAACGGAGCTCATTACGAGCAACAATTCTTTTTTAAGTGTTATCAAGAAATGAATGGAGATTCATAAATGGATAGTGTTAGGCAAAAATGTCCAATCAATGGATAAGTGCGAACTTTACAAAAGGTAGATCTAACATGGCAAAGTGGGTATTTCTAGTTTTAGCCTTTTTTGTAAAAATATTGCATTTTTGTAAATAAGTACAATACTGTCGGCAGTAAAGTATTGTAGTTGGTACATTAATTTATTGAAATACTCTTGAGTTGTTCCGTTCTACTTAGCAAATGTTGCACTTTTTAGGATTAGAATTAATGATTATTGATATGAACGTAGTTAAAGATGTGTCGTCTTAGTGGCCTACTAAGATTTTTTTAATATTGGTAGGTTTTGTTGATAGATAGGTATTAAACGACGATGTATAGAATAATAAATTCATCTTCATAAATTGTAAATATTGTTTTCAGCTATTTTATTTCAATAAAATGTATTATTAGTTTATATTAAAAAAGTAAAACTTATTATTTCTAGATTTTGGATCTTTTTATAATTAATTGTAGGTTCAAGTTGGATTTTGTGGCAACATTAACAATCATTTCATAGAAATACATAGCATGTTTATTTGGACATTAAAATAAAATATTGCAGTTAAATATAAAATACTGTAACAGTGGGTCTATATTGAAAACCATCATGAGATTATTTTTGTGCATACTCTTAGACTGTTCTTGTTATATTGAAAAACTAAAAAAATTGCCTCGCATTTGGAAATGTAGATTTTGAAATATAATACTATTATAGATTTCCAAAAAAAAAGTACTAAAAATTGTCTTTATTATGTAATTATGTTATTTAATGCAGTCAAAAAGTATGCACTCAACTGAACTTTCTGGAACCTATTATTTAAGTTATTAATAATGCAAAAAAATTTCGATCAAAATGTCACCCATAATTTTCAATTAGCCATTTTGCCTTCTGAAAATTGTTGTACCTGTGTGTTCCTTTATGACTCTCACCTATCTGATAAAATAGACATTGTAAATAATTTAGTTAAATCTTCGTATAATGACCTACTGTTAAACGTATTACCGATAGAAATAAGGCTGTAATTTAACTTAATGTTAATGACCAATGAAAACCAACTTGTGATCATTAATATTCGTACTGTTACCTACTACTTAACAAAAGTCGTTAAAAATAATATTATAAAATTGAACATATTTTTCGGCTGTTGAAAAAGTGTAAATACAATATTAAGGATAATAAACTATTTGGATTAATATTTAGGAACAAAGGGAAAAAAATATTATCAAAATTTATATTTTCAAAAATTATTACAAGTGCAAAAAATGTGTATTTAAATAATGGGATGTTTGGCCATAAACAAAATTTTTCACTGGGGTATTTTATCGACTATAGCGCATCACTACACTCACAATAAAGCAGTAAGGTTAACAGTCAAGTACAAAATTTCGCGATGCGATTTTGCTCGTAATTCCTTACTTATGGAATCAGATTTTTCATTAATCTTTTTCAATAAAAAAATCTTAGTATATAAAACCTAATAACCATAAACATTTAACATAAAAAAAGGAATACATAAAATAGAAAATAAATGCCCAACCAATGAAAAAGCTGATTCTCTACAAACATTAGTGTAATAGACGAAGCATGGTAAGTACAAAATAAAATAATTTATCATTAATACTGCTAGTCCCGTTATTAATTTAAAGTATTGTTAAAAAGTAAATATTACTCGGCAAAATCGCACCGCACTCCTGGTTTTCATGATTCGTATTAAGCAAGGCTAGTAAATATGAGTTTGCAATACATTACGGGCTTGATGACGTCATAAGTAATGTAACAACCATTTCATTGGCATAGTTCACCGGTCATAGCCAGGTTCCTTCGCCGCATTTCTTTAAGAAATTTGACATTTTATGATGTGCAATACTACATTCGACTATACTTTTTCGCAATAATTATTACTTACGCACATGTACAATAGAACAAATAAGTGTAACAGCGGACCCTCTGTAATAAAATGATGTAACTCAAAAAGTAACTTTCTGAAAGTCGCACAATAGATTAAAAATATATGGTAGAATTTCTATTTGATATGAAAAACTACATATTAACTTTATTTCGCCCCATTTTTAAATTTATTTAGTCAATTTTGAAAAATTTTGTTTTTCGAATTGACTTACTTTATTATTTGCTTGTGCTTTTGTAGAACTGGTGGGTTTATTGCTTCTTCATGCAATTCCTGCTAGGAAATCATAGGATAGCAAAATAGTAATGAAAACGGTAATAGATTTTTTTTATACATACATAGGCTTCATGAGCAGAACAAAAGAATATTTAATTTTCGTAAAATATTTGATTGTTTATGGTTTTGTTATTAACACTCGTTTGTCGTAGGCAAAATTTAAACTTTGATGTCACCAAGCAACAAGGCAAACTTATAATAATCTTACTAACGTTACTACATACGTATCTATAGTAATTAAAATATACTAAATAATAAAATACACTTCAATAACACATATTCAAACCAAACTGTAACAGTATGTAATAGCGTATTAATTTTTCTTCCTAATAATGGTACCGAACGAATGATATGGCTGCTGGTTTAAGAAAAGATGCAGAATAAAGGCAGATAACTGTTTGAAAATTATTGTTTTATTCATTTAATTACCGATATTCCTATCCTTATTGCCTACTACTTATTAGGTAGGCTTACCTAAACTTCAAAATATATTCTGGTACTAGCTGGTACTAATTAACCCCTTTCATTGGGAGTCTCCTTAGACCTATATGTTTTGATGTGAAAATACTGCAGAACCTTTAAGGTTCTATATACATATATATATATATATAGAACCTTTGGTTTATCTGGTATACATTGGTATATCTAAAATCTATTCCTTTAAGTGATAGACTTGCTGAATTATCACAAATCAGAATTTGTAATTTTTAGAATCAACGATTTGAGAATGCAATTTTATATCAGGCTTCTATTTGGAAATGTTCACCAGAATAAGCCTTTAAAAATAAATCGATTCTCATGAATATGCTAGAGCGGAAAATTATCGACGTGACGGTGTGTATTATGTACTGGTTAGTCACGTATATGAAAGTTGTAATTCCACCCTTGGCTAGACTGGATGTAGAGGATTTCTTTTTGCAATTTTGAGAGTAGAGCAACAGTGGTGTTGTTTTACTTGTATATGCCAGAGGAGATTCTCCACTGACTTACCAATAAATGGATGACAATAAATACAATCCAGTCTAATCCAAAAACCGCTAAATAATATCCGGAGTTTTTCCGGCTTTTCACGGTCTACGTTGGAACCAATGACAAGCATGACTGGAGTTAACCTATACATACGTAGTGACATGTATTGAAATATAAAAAAAAACTAAAACATTTAATTTAAGTTATGAAGTCATTGCAGTATTACTTAATTTTGTTTGCCAAAATATAAAGGCTCAAAAATTATTCGGCTTGTACTAGAAATAACAAAATGTATATTTAGCTACTAGTGAAAGCTACTTGAACAAAAGAGTGATAGAGTAGTCTTCATGCCAATATAAATTAATTTTATAGTAATAAGTTGAATTTTATACGAATTCACTTCAAGTAATAAGAGTTGTGCAGATATATACATAGGTACATACCTACACATATTATAAATGTGGAAATAGGCGTGTCTCTCTGTTGGTAGTTCTGACGTGCTGTAAGAAATGTGTCGACGTTTCGAATTTTTAGATTTCAACTAAACGTAAACTCAAAGTTTCATAATGTCGAAAACCGATTTATAACAGAACCGTTATGCTTTCAGGGGATTTCGGTTGCTTATTACAAACAAAAGATTAAGTTAGTTTGTTTTGTAATATTCCTAAAATAATCAAAAAAATACATTTGGGATTACAAAAATTCGAGCAAACATTATTTCGGGCAAATGTATTTTCGTACTTCTGATTAATAACTCCAAACAGTAAAATGAATAATATTAAAATAATAAATAAATAACAATATTTTATTATATGATATATAATGATATATAATATTAACATTAAATCAACTCTATAATTTCTTTGTTCTAAACCTACATATTTCAGCCACTTGTGGTTGGAAAATTGAAATTGATGCAACGGTTCTCTTTCTATCGTTTCCGCATGTCTTGTGTAGGATGAGGACAGTTAGCTATTTGGTTATTTTGGTTGCTTTTGTAATTTATGTGTATTGTATGTAAGTATGTACACGTATATATACTTTTTATTTTTGTTTTTTCTTACAGTACGGCATGATTTATGATGATTTATATTAAAACAATTACAATTTATTTTTTATTTATAATTTATGACTTATTATTTAATACATAATACGACGGAGAAATTTTGATAAATTTGAATAAACTGCGTAACATAATGTATCGATAAAAATCGGATCTAAAAAGCACGTTCGCTTCTCTCTTACGAAAAACAGCGTTCATGAAGTATTGCATTTGTTGTCTGTGGTTGCCAATGAGATAACAAACTGAGGGTCGTATTCTAGAACTCTACTCAATGCTCAAGTCAGGATTGCAATTGAAACACAAGCACTGGAAAAACGACCCTAATGGCAGAGACTTGGGTATGATTTCGAGTGCTTTAAACCATACTCATATCCTGACTTGAGCATTGAGTAGAGTTCTGGAATACGACCCTGAGGGTCGTATTCTAGAACTCTACTCAATACTCAAGTCAGGATTTGAGCAGACTTGAGTATGATTTCAAGCTCTGGAAATACGACCCTAACGGCAAGGACTTGAGTATGATTTTCAGTGCTCACTGCAATACTCAAGTCCTGACTTGAGTATTGAGTAGAGTTCTGGAATACGACCCTTAGTGGTTGTCTGTCAGTAATTCGATAATGCAAATGAAAAAAAAAACATCGATTTGAAAGCAGTGTTTATTACGCGATGGTTGTTATGTACTTGTACCTTGACTTTAGAGGATGGAAAAAAATTAGTTTCCGTAGTCTAAGGGTCGTATTCTAGAACTCTACTTAATACTCAAGTCAGGACTTGAGTATTGCAATGAGCACTGAAAATCTCTGGCACTGAACTCTACTCAATGCTCAAGTCAGGATTGCACTGGAAACACAACTACGACCCTAATGGCAGGGACTTGAGTATGATTTCGAGTGCTTTAAACCATACTCAAATCCTGACTTGAGCATTGAGTAGAGTTCTAGAATACGGCCCTAAGACCTTGACGGACAATTGACACTTCTTCAGCCTGCAAATATTTTCTATTATTCTGACTTTTAAAAAGTTTCTAATTGGCGCGTTTCGCCGCCCGCGTTTACTTTGCGTTTTGTTACGGTCTAAGCAATATTGTTGAAATATACACGAGAAGGAGCAAGATACATATTAATACAATATCAATTCAATTACTTAGTTATTTTTACAATAACCAATCAATGTAAATGTGCAAATAAATTGAAAATTTAAATAAAGTAAAATATATTTTCCATATTAAAGCGTTCCACATCATGCAGAAGCAAAAATCAATGAAAATTAGTTTCAACATGGCGGCGCCAGTCATGTCAGGCGGAAAGTTTATCAGCGAGTGAATTCTTTTTTTCTGAAATAATTTTAGATCTAATTATGAACGTAGAAATTATAGAACAACACTCTATTTTGAGAATACGCACATGTAATTATTGTTGCGTACTTCTCCGATACAACTCGTTGCAAAAATAAGCAGGAGCCGTATTACTAGGTGACCCATTAGACTTCGAAATTAATCCAAGTGATATGTTTTATCTTGTTCAAGGCATGTAATAGTTTACGTAGAATATTAATTACGTCAGAAAGTCCTTGGGAATCGCGAAGGTTAGGTATTGAATAGGAAAATGGATTATTATGAACATAATATAGTTGTGAATCGTGCTGACGAGTGAAGAAATTGATGTGTTCACAGTTGAAGAGGTTAATTATTAGTGATTGTGTTCAATTGGATAGGGTTTTTTTTTTTACAAAACGGTGCTAGTTTTAGAGGGATCAGTGTTGAGGCCGCGACGTCATAACGTCGGGCTAAAGACATAATAAATATAAATAGTCTTGTGATAAATGCTATTATTTTGTCAACTGCAATGATAGAGAGTGTATCGCGGAGGGCTTTTTCGAGCTCGAGTGGCACTTACAACGTGCGTGCATCAGAGCTCGCAAGAGATCGTAAGCTCAACATCTTCAATATTGCTGTACAGTTCTTGGATGACAGTCAACATGTTTTTCAGATCGAGGTGAGTTTGGTGTTTACCTTCTATAAATGTGTGAGCTATTTTATTTTATTGCAAAATATTACTTAAAGTATTTGCTGTAAATTTGAAATATAAATGACTTGAATGCATTTGAAGATTCAATCAAATCAAAACACAATTTTTTTAAATGTAAAATAGATTTTTAAAAGTGAAATCTATTTGTAGCCTATAAGGCTAATTACAAACAAAATTATTTTACATTTGCCTGTAACAATACCTCCAATGAACACTATGCTTATTTATTTTCCGTTGTAATTTTTTTTTAATGACATTACAAAAATATAATTTGATGGCTCATGTTATTTTCTTTCTTTTGGAAACATGCATAATAACCGCTTAAGTATTTTAATCACCGGCAATCTATCTCACCACCGCACTGAGCCCTTAATAAATTAGTCTTTCAACCCTAACGTTGGCGAAATCATTGCGCAAAATGACGGGGTCATAGATACAAAAGTTGAAGTTGAAGTATTTTCTGTTTTTGTAAACAGTGATATTTATTTACTAATATTATGCTCTCCAAATTTTGTGAAAAAAATAAAGAAAAAAACAAAAAAGAAGGTTCGTTCCATGGCTTAGTTGGTAGCGCCTGGCACAGTATGCTAGAAGACGTCGGTTCGTTTTCTTTTTAATAACAAGTTTTTGTAAGTAATAATTCAAATTAATACTTCTGCTTATGCAAATGTGTTCTCACACTGAAAATACTACATTTTCGACTTGCATCATAAATTTTAAAGGAAAATACAATTCAGTTTGTTGATTGTTGTTGATCTCCGTCGCCGATTCATTCATTGAGTACTTTGTTTACAATAATAACACAAGTATCTAAAAATTCTTAATGCTTGGCTTCTGTCCAGCACTACAAACCCGTTAACCCGTTTATCTTATCTATTTTTATGTTCAACCTGCAATTGAATTAATTTGGCTTTTCCTGACTTAAATTTAGTTTGCCACAAATGTTTATCTATAATGGAAAATATATGATTCAATATTAACCAATATGAAACTATCCCTGTATTAATTATCATAATTAGCATTAGCAAAGTTTTAATGCAACACATTTTTGTCTACCACTTCACACTGAGCCATACCTCTTGTTCAACACATTCTATTAATGACCTGTATTCATGTATGAAATATACAATGATTAGTAAATAGAATTTTTTAATACTGGGTAAGATAGTAGCCTAATTCAGTTAACGTGGAGATGGTCAATATACCTGTACAATTTCATATCAAAGCTATTATTACTATGTGATTCTTTGACATAGGTTATAGAGTGTTACAAAAATACGTTTTAAAACATACATTATTATATAATTTTTATGTAGGCTGTTTACAATAATTTACATGTTTTTACAATATTCTCATGCAGTCCAATGAGTCACAAAAACCAAAGAATTAAACATGAAAAAAGTCTATCTAATTTATACAAAAACATAAACCTAAAATGGAAACGAATACAATTTTAATTTTTAATTGGTTTCGAAAAAGGAGGAGCTTCTCAATTTGACTGTATTTTTATTTTTGTGAATTACATGTGGTTGCACCAATATTTGTGAAGTGATTTTGATGGTAGTTTTTTCTCACCTCCTCCTTTTCTCCTTCTTTCTATCTCCTCCACTACAGATAGTGGAACCATTCAAATTTGAAGAAAATGTTCCACTTCTAAGGGGATGAATCCGGTTTGTTGGATTTCACCCAGTTTTCGTTAACTTTGCAAAAAGATGTAATTCCACAAACTTTTGAGATTGGTTTTTTATAAAAAAGTTTTATAAAACTATCTTCAATATAGTATAATATCATTAAGGTAATTAAATAATGATTTTTAAAATTCTACACAATTGTTACGATTTCTAATTTCGCTTGGAAGTATATTGTATGCATTTGAAGTCATTACCATTATACTCGCTCTCAATTCGAAGCTCAAGAAAGTTCTAATTAGGAAAATCTTCATATTGTGTTTTTTAATATATCTAGCTTTTTAAATCTTGTGGAGGATAAGAACAAAAAGTCGACGTATTTTTTGTATTGATTCACCTAATTCATGTATGAGAAGAATATTATGTTGTTCATATACACAAAATTAAATTATAATATTATCTGAAAAGTATACAATTAGACCACTTTTTTAATTATGAGACTGAGATCTAATTTTCTTAAAAGTATGAATTTTTTATTGTATTTATTTTGGAATTACATTGTTTCAGAAAAAAGCCAAAGGTAGTGTCTTATTGGATCAAGTATATCAACATATAGAACTAATAGAAAGGGATTACTTCGGCCTGCAATTCACTGAAAATGGATCCGCACCTTGCGCTACAAATACAGAAATAACAGTAAGTCTTCTTCTCTTATTTTTTTTACCACTCATATGGCTTCGATTATATATTGATTCAATCATAATGACAACTACTTAGAAACAAAAAAATTATAGAGCAGATATGAGTCTCACAACCCACTCTGATTACCATCATTTTAATATAATATCACATAGTCTTTATAATAATAACACTACCAATCACACCAATTACCAGGTCTGAAACTGATCTGAACTAGGGTATTTCCTTACTAGAGTACCAGAATAAAATAAATGCCGTGGTAGCCTGAGGTCAGCAAAGGGTCTTTAAATGGATTGATGATGAATGAGAGTTCCAGAATTCACTATGGAACACTGTCCCAGTACACCCAGACCACAACCAATTTAGAAAATTCAGTCAAGCTGTGATTATGAAGCTTGTAACCGTTCCAAAATAACGGGAAAACAAAAAGAACTCATATCGTGTAAGAAACTTGTAATTAGTGATCATACAATTTAGAAAAGTTAATTTCCGAAAATTGGTTCTACCGGGAGTTGAACCCGGGACATTGAGCACCGACAGTGCAAATCGTTGGGCCACCGATATCGACAACGAGTTTGTATAAAAGGAAACAATTGAGACAGGATAAATAATTTAAGTAAAAAATGTAATGCCGAACATTCAGCCCATAATTAAAAAAAAAAACTGCCCCTGGACCGAAAATCAAAGAAACATTTGAAATTTTTGGCATAAAAATACATATATTGACGTGTACTTGCAATAAGTACTTGGATTCAAGTGTACTAGCTATAACAATATTTTATTAGAACTTACATTATTTATTATGTTATATGCATGCTTGATGTTTCATAATCTCATCTATAGAGTACAAAAAAATCGACCTCAAAAGTACGTGGAATTACATATAATTACCAAGTTTTATTGAAATCGGTTACGAAAGTGCGCAAACCCGGATTCATCCCCTAGTTCGCCACTATACGGGACTTGACACAGGAGATAATAAAAATCGGTTCTCACTACTCAAAGTATATTGAGAGAAAAACGTCTTAAATGAAAGAATAGCAAAATCAACCATTAAAATAATTCCTCATTATACTAAAATTTAGGCGCTATTTATAAAAATGAATCTTCTTGCGTGAATAGCCACCCTTAGAGGTGGATGATTTTCTTCAAAATTAAATGGGACCACTATGAAGGTACCCTTTTTCCAACAAAAAAGAATCATGAAAATTGGTTCACAAATACCGGAGTTGTCGCGTAACATACATACAAAAAAAAAACATACAGTCGAATTGAAGAACCTTTCCTTTTTTGAGTCGGTTAAAAATGAATATCCAAGAGTGAATGAAAATTATGATTCATTGAATTAAAATTATGATAATTAAGTTCTGACGTCAGCAAACGCCTACTTGAGATAACCAATAAAAAAGTCAATGGGATAATCAGATTGTACAAAATGAGTCATCGGAAAGAATTACTTTGTAATATTGATACTGAATCTGATTCATTTTTAGTCTACTCTGAAACAAAACAAAATGTGTTTTGCTCAAATTGATACTTAATAGTTTTGTATCTAAAGATTTTAATATTGGTAAGTTTAGTACGTATAGTCGAGAGCACATAGGCTTGTCAGATGGCCGGGACATCTGGGATTGTCCCGGAATTTTTCGTCTTGTCCCGTGTCCAGTACTTAGACTTTACTGTCCCGGATTCCAAACACTTAGAAGTTGTTTTTACAAACTTAGAGGCCTTTTCATAAAAGAAGACCCCCAGATGCAGCGCTTTAGTCGTGCGAAGGAATGTCCAAATATTGATTGCGAATAACGTAAAATATTTGTTTTTTTCTACTCAATGAGTATTAAAAACTTCCAAACGTCAGTAAACGCGAAGTGCTCGGTTTCAGTTTGGTTTTTATAATAATGTTATAAAAACCAAACTAAGTTTTTGTATGTGTGTTGTATGTTGAGTATTGAGGTAGTTTCGTAGGTTAACTTTTACATAACAAACGTACGTATTTGAAAATAATTTGTATTTTTATTTTCCCTTTAAAAATGCAACGACTAAATATATTACGAAGGCCACTCGACAAATCTGTAGGTATTAGCAGGAAATTAAAACAAATAAATGAAACAAAGCAATGACAGGTGACTAATGTTTTAGTTTTTAAGTTAGACTTAAAATAAAAAAGAAAAAATAACTGACCAGGCTTTTGAAAAACACTGCATTATTTTTGAGAATTTTATTAGACTTCTGCTAACTGTACGCATATTTCAATATATTTTGACTCCTTTTAACATATACATAATATGTATATGTATATATTTTATGGTTTCTGTTGTTTTCTTAACAAATTGCTCTAACATCTTTTTTGCATAAGCACTGTCGGCAATATTTGCGGTCTTTAGAAGTTTATTTGATGTTCAGCATGAAAAAACCACGACTATGAGGAAAACAGTGATAAGACTTGTGTGTTACTTGTATGTGTTTTCTGGAATGTTTTATTACTAAAAAGTTAAATTAACAAATTAAACAAAATGCAAATATCTGGCTCATTTTTATTACTATTCTCTACAAACGAGTTGATATGTTAAGACAGAGGTTCAAAGAAGATAAAACAATACAATTTTAATACTTTTACACACAAGAATAACAAACAGTACTAGTAATTAGAAGCATTAGAGCTCCTTGTGAAAGAGTTCGTCCAAAGACGTACTGCCACCCTAGTTATTTCTGTTTGCCTGTTTGAAGGATAAGGGTGCTGCTGAAATACAGGCACATGAGACTTGTCAACTTATGTCTCTGGGTAGTGATGAAAGAGATTCAGTCTTTTAAGGCGTTTTATAACGACTCGACTCCATTTTACGGAACTCGACTCTAAAATTAAACACATTAACAAATTAAAGGGGTTCGAGTTTTTATTAATAAGACTCAGTCGTTATACTAAAAGACTCAAAAGACTTAAACGACTTGAAAGACTTAAACGACTCGAGTTGTTTGCAAAGGACTTACATCTATTTTATGTCTTATTAAACCCGAAGTTTATAAATAAAAATGATGTAAGTAGTATGTAGTTAATAATCATGTTTATTTACTTATAATAAAAATCGTAAAATAATTACCTGGTGGGTAGAAACAAAATGCTAAGCAAAAAGGCTGGTAGAAGCAAAAAGGCTATGAGGCGCCTTTCGTTTTAGTCGTTTTAGTTCTTAAGACTTTTAAGCTTCCTAAGGTTAAGACTTCGATTCGAATTAGTCTTCAGTTTTAGTCTTATGACTCAAGATTTCAGGGTTAAAGGACTAGACTAGTCGTGAGGCGTTAAAAATTAGTCCAGGTTTTTTAAATGGTCTTAAAAGACTGAGTCTGTTTCATCACTATCTCTAGGTGACGGGCATAGTGGCAGTGATTTTTTTTTTAAATTTATTTATCTTGTCAATTACATTTTTTTACAAATAAGATAATTTAAAACCCTGAGTGGCATTGCAACTGTACTGTACAAGCGTGTCACTTGCCACCAGGCGCAAAACTTGTTCCGTCACTTATTATCGCAAAAAACAAACAAAAAGCAATCAAATACAAAACTACATTGACTTACAATTATATGGACGTCGGGTCCGCGCTAAAAAGTGTCCGAACTTATAGGGCGTTAAAATCGTATACAGAGCGTCATTCACGCTTTAGTCTTCGTTTGTTCGACTGACATTACAATTTAAATTCAACGTTTTAGCTTTTCATATTCCTTTACATGTCACTACGTTTAAATATGTTGACTTGGGACATTTTTTTCGTGGTTTTTGTATTAGACCCGTCGTCCATTTATTTGTAAGTCAATGCAAAACTACAAAAAATTAAAATTATGGACTCATCAACTTGAAATCGGTCAGTAGGCCTAGCACGAACGGGCGCGACTTGCGCGAGAGCGACATAAAGCGCGAAATACTGCTAAGCTCTCGCGCAAGTCGCGCCCTATCGTGCTAGCCCTACAGACTAGTGTTCACTACCTAATATCCGTGGCAATTTTTATTATTTAAGTATTCTATTTTTTTATCGTGCAATATTGTTTAATATTCATCGTGAAATATTATTTAATAATTACACGATAACATAATTGACTATTTAAATAATAAAAATTGCCACTCAAATTAGACAGTGAACACTAAAACGAGAATGACCGAAATCAAACATACTATCTGACAATAATAGATTTAACCATTTCTTCCATCGGCCTGTGCCCACAGTAGCCCCATATATTCCACGTAGATATAAAAAAATGAATGATCTTATTAATTGGCATTACACACAAAAACCACAAAATCTTGAAATAGCTAGTAACAAAACTTTATTGTTTCAGCGCTGGTTAGATGCAAACAAATCTGTAAAGAAACAAGTTGGGGTCAACGCACAGTTCTGGTTAGCAGTACGTTTCTACCCCCCTGAACCGTCACGATTAGCCGAGGAGTATACAAAATATCTGCTCTTCTTACAACTGAAAAAACTATTATTAGATGGTAGAATGACAGCTCCAAAGAACACTGCCTTGTTGTTAGCTTCGTTTACAGTACAAGGTAAGTTTCACATTACTTGTAGAGACACACATACAAGAAATATTTAAGGCAAGAATTAAATGTTATGTCCCTCTACCATGAGCTTACGGTATCGATAATCGCTAGCGCCCGCGTAGATTGTTTGACAATTTTGTATTGCAGTTTGTGCACGGACCTTAGCAATCTCAAGATATTGTGAACTCATGGAAAATCTGATAGCAGTATTTCCTAATCAATACATTCTTCAAAATTTGACTATGTGATCGTGTTAGCGAATCGTGACATTAATTTATTTTATTCTCTTACAAAAATTACTTAGTATCATTAAGAATTAGATTTATCGTGATAAGAAATAATAAAAGGTTATTAACAGAGCGCTGACGGGCGGCCGCCATTACTAAAACATATTTGACGATGTGGTTTTGTTTTATTTGGTTTTATAGTGGAAAGATATTATAATATAATTGATAACAGTCACTGGCGTCTCATTTCTGGTCACTATAAAAATCTCACAATCGGGTATTTATTAAACTCGTATAAACTGAGTAATCAAAATCTGTTCTAACAAATTATACTATGACATAATTTTTATACTGTATTTTAACGTACTCAAGAGCGGTCGTAGCCTGGGGAAGACTGGTTGCTTCTGGATGAGATTTCGACGATTCGAATATAATAATATATTAAAAAGAATACAAAGAATATAAAAAAAATTATTGCAACACATAGATACAAAAAAGAGATTAGTAATACTTGAACAAACAAAATAAAATAGGAAGAATTTGAAAAAAATAACAAACACCATAAAGTAAAATAAAACAGATAAAAAGCAATAAACAAACAACGTCTACAATTCGTACTGTGATTTGAGCGGTTGTAGCGTACGCAAAAGGACATCATTCAACTTAGCCTTAGCAATATTTTTCAATGAGCCCTAAATTATTATTATATATTATAAGCCTATTGCATGTGTCTTTGACTTCAGTTTTTACGTTATGTACATGTGTGAATTTTTAGTAGTCCGCCCGGTCTACATTGGGCCAGCTTGGTAGACTATGGTACCCACAGTGGGCCATATAATGAATTAATCGATTCAGGCGTTACTTTGCGAAAGTCCATGTTAATAAAAATAGAAGTTAATTAATTTGCTACTCTGCGAAGCTAGTGAAGGTTAAATCGTGCAAAATAGCTGCGCTTGTGTTGCATATTTTTTCATGCACTTAATTTTCCCACTCTCGACGCTCGGCCAAAGAAAGAAGAATTTTCTTCGGCCGAGTGTCGAGCAATCAACATTCCTCGTGGCGATAGGCGAAACAAGTGTCGTGTATATTTGGTGGTGGTGTTTGTGACTGTAGTTGCGCTTGTGTTATTTATTTTATTAATTTTATGCGGAGGGAGAGGGGAAATTAACTGCATTAAAAAAATATTCAACACAAGCGCAGCTATTTTCCACGATTTAGCCATCACTAGGTTCGCGCAGTAGCAAATTAATTAAATTCCATTTTTATTGGCCGTACAATGCATTGACGATGATTATGGTCAAAAGTGATCAATTGTTTCCAAATTTTAAATCATATCTAGGATTTGTAATAAATTGTCTTGTACTTTCCAGCGGAACTAGGAGATTATAACGTATCAGAACATCCCCCAAATTATCTATCAGAGCTAAGCTTGCTACCAAAACAAACTTCAGAAGACGAGAGGCGAATAAGAGAACTTCATAAACTACATAAAGGTCAGACTCCGGCAGATGCAGAGGCGAATTTTTTGGAGCATGCAAAGAGATTGGATTGCTACGGTGTTGAGTCACATCCGGCTAAGGTATGTTGTACTTAAAAATAACTGTCTTTCTTTAAAGCCTTGTTTTATAAAAGTCGTTATGTTGTAACTAACATTTGAAAAGAAACTATTTTTTGGGATCTAAGTCGCGTGTATTTGATTTAACAAATAAATGAATATCGAGTTCTTAGGTTTTCGCGATTGTTACACATAGGAAATGGAACTATTTTTCCAGATTTAAATCGCGAATATTTGTTTTTTCAAACAAACCTTCTTATATTGGACAAACAAAGCGAAGTATTTACCCGCGTCAAAGAACATATAGCTGATGTCAAACACCGTCGCGTAAACAAGTCTACAGTCTGCGAGCATGTCATGGATAAACCTACACATTCAATGAAGTTTGACAAACCCCAGGTCCTTTCAAAAGAAGTCCGTTTCCTAATTTCAACAGGGAAGATGGTTTCTCCGTACCACCAGTTTGGGATCCAGTATTTCTTCTAATGAAAAATCCCAAACAGACATAAGACTGCGGTACTAATTAATATATTTTAGTTTATTCTAATTTCTATTAATGATTAATAATAAATTAAACTTAATAACAATTCATTCAATAAAATAATTTGTAAAACTTAATGTAGCGTAAATTGTAATGTTTTCTTTGTAAAATTAAAAATAAGGTATTTAATTAATAACTATTGTAACTATAGTGAAAAAAATAGGGTGGTTTGCATTAATATTAGACATAACTGGTTGAAGACTGTACCACCTCAGTCAACCGTGGCCATGGGACCTGTAAAGGGCCCGAAACGTCGGTTTGTTTAAAAAAACAAATATACGCGATTTATATCCGGAAAAATACTTTCATTTCCTAAATAAATGAATGTCTGACTTATCAGTTAGTCAGCCGATCAATTGTGACCAGAGGTAGGCAAGCGACCGGGTTTTAACCCAGGGCTTTGTTAACGCCGGGTTTTAATCGGATTAAAATCTATTAATGCCAGAAATCGAAGGCAAAAGTTATTTACTACTAAATGTTTTTGTAAATCGAGTTTTGTTCAAATGTAATGATATTATTACATTACAAAATGTATATGCTTGCATATTCTGCCATTCTCTTGAATCGATTCTCTTGAAAATCGTATGGAAATGAATCGATACAAAAACTCGTTATCGTGTATACTTGAATCGATTTTCATAAAAATCGAATCGTAATATGCGTCTAGTAGTAAGTGAGAGTCCACAGGATTACAAGGTGGGTATTGTGTGGAGTTATCTCTTTTATATCTAAAAAAGATTTTTTATAGGAAATGAAACTATTTTTTCGGATTTACTAGCAGTAGAGCTCCTTGTGAAAGAGTTCGTCCAGAGTCGTACTGCCACCTTTCCCTATTTCTGCCGCCAAGCAGCATGTCCGCATTACTGTGTTCGGGTTTTGAAGGGTAAGGGTGCTGGTGAAATTACAGGCACATGGGACTTGTCAACTTATGTCTCAGGGTGACGGGCGCTTTGGCAGTGCCCCTCAAGTCTTTGCGATTTAAAGCTCTGAGTGGCACTGCAACTGTTATGGACAGGCGTGTACGACTTGTTCGTCTCGTCACTTGATGTTATAAAAAAATACCCTTTACAGGGCCTGTGGTCACGATTGACTGGGACCTGTAAAGGGCCCGTAACGTCGGTTTGTTTGAATTTAAATCCGGAAAAATAGTTTCATTTCCTATGTGTAACAATCTCGAAAACCTAAGAACTCGATAAGATTTGTTATATCAAAATTTCTAATCATGTCATCAACAACCTATCGTAGTTCAGTGCTGGACATAGGCCTCCCCCAATGCGTGCCATTTCGCCCGGTCCTCAACTCGTTGCATCCATCTGCTGCCAGCAGCCCTTCGCAAATCGTCACTCCAACTAACCATAGGGCGTCCTACACTACGTTTGCCGAGCCGTGGTCTCCACTCAAAAACTCGCTTCCCCCATGGGTTATCGGTTCTTCGACAGATATGGCCAGCCCACTTCCACTTCAGCTTGCTTATTCTACCAGCTATGTAGACGACCTTAGTTCTAATAAGTAAATTTCTAATAAGTATGTATTATTACCAAATTCCTTATTATTTTACGCATATAATGCTTTCGCCCACGATTTTGGACAGAAACAGGTTATAACCCGGCGCTGTTAGTTGATTGGGTTGTAACTCAATCTAACCAAATTGCCCATCCCTGGCTGTGACCATGGGTCCAGTAAAAGTCCCGAAACTATGGTTTGTTTGAATTAACTAATTATACGCGACTTAGATTCGAAAAAAATTGTTTCATTACCAAAGTATAACAATCGCGGAAACCTAACAGCTAGAAACCCTAATTATATATAAGCAAGAATTAGTTTATTATAAATGATTTTATTTCCAGGATTACAACGGCAAAGACATATTTATTGGCGTAACGTCAATAGGGATTGTTGTCTTCCAAAACAATATACGAGTGAACACTTTCTCTTGGAGTAAAATCGTTAAGATTTCGTTCAAGAAGAAGCAGTTCTTTATACAACTGAAACGGGAACCTGTAAGTATGGTTAATAATAATAAATGTTTATTTTCTCCACAAAGTTTACACTGTATACATAAAGTGGTGGCGCTAGTGACCGACAAACAGCAGCGTTCGCCATATTTTTAAATTCGTTTCTAATATTATTTGGGACAAAATTTTCTATCATGTATAAGTGTCAATTACTGGGTGGTCACTATAGGTGAATATTGGTTCGTTAATTAGTGGATTTGTAGTGTTCATGCCTAGATTTAGAGAAATTCTAGTTTAAGTTTTTTTAACCGACTTCAAAAAAAGGAGGAGGTCGTTCTCTATTCGCCTGAACGCGATAGCTCATTTGCATTTGTGGACCGATTTTAATGATTCTTTTTTTATTTGAAACAGGGTACCTCAGTATTGGTCCCATTTAAATCTGAAAGAAATATTCCATCTCTGTGGGTGGCAAACTAGGTGATGAATCCGATTTCGCGCACTTTCCGGTAACCGATTTCAATAAAACTTGGCGTATAGTTTTTTAAACTTTACTTTTTTATGTTTATTGAATGTCACGATGTTTTATTACCATGATATTAAATTTTTTTTTGTGAAATTGTGAAATTTTGTGAAATTCAATCCGACTGGATTCGTACCAGCCAGCTATTAAGTCACGGAACGAACCAGCAGGCTTTACGAATTTTGTATGTGGTTCTTGTAGAACTTTGTTTTTAGTTTTTTAGCGCCATCTGTGAGAAATTTATTTCTTCACTCAGAGACCTATCATTATTAACAAATTAATCCATTAGTTTATTATGATTATTAACAACGAAGGCTTACTATTTTATATTCTGACATTTTTTCCGCTAAATATCCACATGTAGTACAATACGTGTAGTAGTCTATAATAATGTTAAAATAAAAACGTTGAAACACGTTAAGGTAAAAATAGTATAAAAATATTTTCGGTTTTTGAATGGTGAAAATTGGCTTCACAATCCTCGTTTAGAGAAGCACCTATTATACTATTGTACTCACATTGGATGTGTAATTAGGGTCAATATTCCATCGCTGTGTCCATGACCAATCTCATTCGTTACGTTTAATGAATGAGATTGGTTATATCACACCCACCACCAGTGATAATATGAAACAGTGTATATTATTGATAATAAGCATTTGATTGATGCTCAGTTGTATGTGAAAAAACATTAATCGTATTCACAATTGAATTCATGATTCATAATTTTATTTCTGATAAAAATGGACCTCAAAAGTCATTCATCCCTAGTTTGCCACTCTTAGAAGTGATATATTTTCTTCAAATTGAAATGGTACCACTTCTGAGGTCTCTTTCCAACAAAAAAAAAGAAATATCGAAATCATACATACACACAATTGAACAAAAACATACAGTCGGCTAAAAACGCGGATTGTATAGAAGTTACCATGTAACGAAATAAGTATAGTGGCTGGCCAAACATTGGACATAGAAATATATTGAAAATATATCATATATTTACTCACATGCACTTCAACAGTAGGGCTAGCACGGTAGGGCGCGACTAGCGCGAGAGCGACATAAAGTGCGAGATACTGTTATTCCCGCATACAGATCACGCGCTTTATGTCGCTCTCGCGCAAGTCGCGCCTTATCATGCTAGCCTTACAGATTAATGTAGGTGTAACAATTTTACACATGGATCTAATCAGTCGGTCATTAATGTGAACGCGGTGATAGTTATTTGGGTATAATTTTAATGATAATAATTTGTAAATCGTAATTAGACGTGAAAATGTACAAGAAAAAAAAAATAATAAAACGTCAAAATATATACAAATCGCACATGACAACTAACATAGTATTATCTCAAAATGGCTTTAAGTTATTTTAACATTACCTATTTAGTTTTGAAGCGACAGTGTTGGCACTGTCACTTTGAAATCAAATCGTATATGAATGACACGTCATTATAGCAAATTTTTGGAGATAAATTATTAATATAACGCAATTTTGAGGTAAAATATAATATAACGCAATTTTTGAGATAATACTATGTTAGTTGGCAAGTGCGAAATGTCAAAGGTTTTAAGACAATGAAGTTAGGGATTTGGCATTTAGAAATTCGAACCATAGACCTAGGCTTACGAGATCTACGATTCGGACACTGTATAGTACATTTTATTAGTTAATGAATTGTTTATTTGCTCTTTAATACCATAAGGCTTTTTTCAGACATTGTACTTTCGGTAAGTTACTGTAAATTTTTGGCATAGTAATAAAAATAATTTCATGCATTAAAGTAGTTTTTACAAGTTTTCTAACGAAATTGATCATAACGTCTTGACTTTAGAGAGCATGTGAGTCATCACTAGTTTATGCCGATATTTTTTTTTATGATCTCAAGTGACGGGACGAACGAGCTACACGCTTGTCCGCATCAGTTGCAGTGTCACTCAGAGCTTTAAATTGCAAAGATTTGAAGGGCACTGTTACTGCGCCCACCACCCTGAGGCATAAGTTGACAAATCCAATGTGCCTGTAATTTTACCAGCACACTTACCCTTCAAAACCGGAACAAAGTAACGACATTACTGCTTGGCGGCTGTAATAAGAAAGGTTGCGGTACTACCCTGGACGAACTCTTTCACAAGGAGCTCTACTGCTACTACAACGATAGATATAATTTAACATTTCGATAGCATTTTAAAATAGCTGTCTATGTCAAAAATACCTAATTCGCCGGACAGATGGAAAAAGGCTGAGGCCAATCTGGCTCGTAAAGATGACGAATCATATACCGACACAATGTTGATTATTTTGATTATTTGAGTATTTTAGTACATTCCGAATACAAGTGTGCAATAAGTGAAATATGAACTATTTTGATCTGAGTCATTGTTGAAATACAGCGATTTGATAAAAATCAGCCTTACTCAATTATTTTATGGTACATATTCATTATAATTAAAACTATTCTGAAAATATTTTCCCTCTACATCAAAACAATTGATAATTAAGTTAATAAACATGCCGTTTAATCGTAGACTCGGAACTTTTGTGTGGTTTAGGGTATTCACTTCCTCATAGGAAACTTGTGTCAAAGATGATACCACTAGACTGCAATGGATCTTTTTATACCTACTAAATACATCATCAACCCATTACTGCCGTGCTTACAATATTAACAGTAAATATGTTTGAAACACATATCGACACTGGAAAGGTAAAACTGCCTAACGTGCATTTGGAAAATATTGCAGGAGAGCGATTTAAAGTATTTTTTTACGAAAAAAAATTAAATTGTAACTCTCTCTCATTTTATCGTTATTTAATCCGCTTTTCCTTATAACAAATAAAATTATTCTTACGTTTTACCTTTTCAGCGTCGATATAGACTTACTTGTTCTTATCGTAAGCACGGCAGATTATATTTCGCACTGCTGAACCCTGATCTAAGGAGAGCGTTTAGGTCGTACTTGGCCATTCCGGCCCACCGGTAAGGGACTAAACCCGTTTTCTAAGAGTGACCTATGAGTAAGTTTCATCACGATGGTTTCTTTCACCGTTATCAAGAGGTATTGCTGCTAAATTTTCACAAATGTACGTACTTTGAAATTAACATCGGATACACAAGTATCTATCAAGTATAGAACTGTCGACCAAACAATTGAGAAGCAACTATTTTCCCCACTAAGCTACTGCCGCTGTTATAGCAAGTGTAGTTATAGTAAAAACACTATTATAAAAGTTCTTCCAAAAGACCATTGCACGGTGATTCACGCTCCATACTAAGGCGGTCATAAATACGTAACTCCGAAATTATTATTATTTTTTTATTTTATTACGTTAAAATATGATTAGGTAAACGTAAATTAATAAAATTATACATTTTAAAAAATATTTGACAATATTTAGGTGTAAAAATGTCTCGCAGTAATTTTGTTTTTAGACGATGTATCTAAAACATTTTATACTGCGACTTTTAATGGTAAAACTGTGTAAATAATGATTATTTGTATTAACAATAACCACAAATGAATAAATTAAAACAATAAAAATACATAAAAAAGTTCATTTTACAAAATACAAACAAAACACAAATTATACCAAAATACATTAAATCTCAACAATATTAACTTTAAATACATAACAAGTCTAATACAGCTTTTGACAGTACACCTTTTTTTTTAACAGGTAACTTTCGTAGACCTGTTATGAAGGGATCTGATTGAAGAAGCAGCCTATTTACTAAATCTGTGTTGGTCACAATGCGACTCATTTTACGCGTATGATTTTTTCTAAAAGACTTGATGTATTTGTTAGTCGCTTCAGCTGCTTCTTCAGACAACTCTCCGATTGACAACAAACCGTAATCTATAACATTAGCACCATGAATTAGAACTTTGTGAACGGAAGCAGGCATGTTATACCACGGATACTCGGCAACTAACTGCCGAGCCGTCTCTAAAGCGAACTCTTCGAAGTTCGTCTTATTAATATTATATCCAGAATTTAAACATTGAAGGATGATCCAGCAACGATCTAGGAGATCCTTCTTGATCCCAGTAATTTCAGCGGAAATTTCTGAATTCGAGAAAAACCGCCTGGCTGTATTACCATCGTTTGATGTTCCGCTTCCGCCACTTTTAGGCTTATCCACTATAAGCCCTAATCTTTCTCTAAATTGAGTCTGAACATATGATTTTTTTGCAGCAACAAGCATTTTGTCATTAGCGGACCTAGCTTGCCATTTCCTAACATCTAACTTGTACGCGACATGAACAAAATATTCAAAAAAACGTATTAACGCGTGGAGAGGTGATAAACCAAATTCATATTTACTCTCATCGACTTCCTTATTTAAACATTCGTCAATTTTGTTCATTTCACTGGGCAAGGCGTTACAAATAAAACATTTTGATGAAGAAACACCACTAAGTGCATTACACACTTTACCATCTACCATAGTAAGTTGCAAACAATGAGTAATGCGATATTCGCGATCTTCTTCCTTGAAAACAGTAGGCTGCAAGTTCCTTATTTTATCTTTAAAATGAGCTTCTTCCTCAACTGACACTGCAGTCGATTCCTTCAAATATCGGAGGCGTATAGGACGACAGTATCGAGTTGATGAAGGACGAGGATTTTTCCACAAAACTACTGAATTTTCTTTGTTATCTGTTGTCAAAACAAGCTGAAGTGGCACATACGAAGTAACAAACAGGCTACTGTCTTCAAGAGTGGAGTCAGAAAAACACTGTTTATATTCTGAATGCCCTGTACTGCCATCGAAACCCCATTTCCCTATCAAAGATATCTTATCTAGAGACTCATTAGGTACACTATCCAAAACATCTTTTTGAGACTTGAGAATCCGATTGGCAGTATGATCTAATAAACTTTGAAGTTCGACTTCGTCGGATGATTCTGTAACAGTAATATCTGAAGGATAACAGTGTTTTTTAGATTCCACGACACTTTGGTAAGATGGGAAAATGGTTTTTGAAAACTTATTGTCTATAAATTTCTTTACTAATATATATTGATGTCGAGTTAACTGAGCTTCAACAATGAGCGATAAAACTTCGCTAGAATCGATTTCAGGACAAGACAAGCTATCGGACGCATTGAGCAATGACTGTACAAGAGAAGGGTCTTGGTTAGACAAACTAGCCAATCTTCTACTTTTTGTACGTTTACTGGTGTCGTCAAAGTTAATTCTCGGACGGCCATGCGATGAAGAAGTTGATGGTTTAACTTCGTCAAAGCTCTGAGATACACGTAACTCAGTTCGCTGTACATCAATATTTTCAACGACATGCAGCCAATCTGAATATTTTTCTAAGAATTTAGATCTAGTACGATTCGACTTTGCCCAGTAGTGGGAAATTTGTTTACAAATATTCTTAATTTTAAGGCTTAAAGTCTCTAAATCAATATTTTCGATGTCGTCAGAAAGGGATGATGTTTCGGTCAAAGTGCTCAGGACGTGTTGCATTTTTTCATTTGGATTACCCACTTTAGAGTGCCAAATATCAAAAATTGTCATCCTCGATACAGAACATTTGAAAAATGTACCTAAAACAATATGAAAGCTGAACTTAAAAAAAAATTAAAAATTCAATACTATGGACATGCATACTTTGACACCCCTTTAAGCCAAGAAGAGGCAGCAAGATGCAAATGAAACTTATAGCTCTTAATAAGGACATACTCCTTATTCAAAAACCATATACCTCAGGTGCAGCTCAGCGCAGCCAAAAGTTGTAGGTCTAAAGGAAATTAAGTTATGCCAAAAATTTTCACCAAAAAACTGCCTTCAATAAAAAAATTATATAAAAAAAAGTATGCATAAAAAAAATTAAAAAAAATTGATAATAAAAGTACATACCATGCTCTTGGATCTCCATGCTTTCACAACACGTAAACACTTGATTTGGAATAGTGACACTCAAAAACAAAGTGATTAAGTTTCGATGACTCACACGTGGTGATAATTAGTCTCGCGATGCGCTCACTTCCGATGCACAAAAGTGAATGATAACGTGACCTAATTACATTGATATTTATAGTTTTTGGAAGCTTGTTAACTAGTTACTAACTTAGTGAGTTGATCTAACCGGGATAAGCCAATGATTTTTTTTGATTTATGGCCTATGGGGGAATCACAGTGCATTGTACAGATTGCCTATATTAAAAATTTTTTTACAACATATCTGTGACAATAGATTTTGATTACTTGGTTTATAGGATTTTAAAAAGATTCCGATAATAGTATAATCATTTCTTGAAATCATGTGGTAAATATGGGATACATTTTTTGAGATCTCAGTACCTGGAAATTGACCCTGGTAGGGGTACCGCAACATGCTAAACAATAACATTATATTATAAATTGTTTAAAACAAAGGAGACTTTCTAATATAATATCAAAACTCAAACTAAACATTCGCATTACATTACAGTTCTCATTATTAAATATATCAAATCATTTCATTAATAAATATAGTTATTTCACCTTCCACAAAAATACTAAAACTAGATACTTACTAAAAGAACTTACATAATTGAAACTTTTTTACAAAAAAATAAAACCGACCTCAATAGTTCGTCGAATTACATATATTTGCCAAGTTTTATTGTAATCAGTTACTAGAAAGTGCGCGAAACCGGATTCATCCCGTAGTTTGCCACCCTTAGAGGACGAATATTTTCTTGATATTTAAATGGGACCAATACTGAGATACCCACTTTCCAACAATAAAATCGTCAATTCGGTTCACAAATAATCGCGTAACATATGTACATACAAAAAAAAATACAGTCGAATTGAGAACCTCTTCTTTTTTTTTGAAGTCGGTTAAAAAAAGAATACATTTGTAGAAATCTAGAACCTTAACAAACTCAAAAGATTTGGATTTTAGGTCTTCCTGAATTTTATTTTAGTATAGTCACTACCGCTCTCCTAATACTAAATTATTATCAATTTCATTATTTCTAAATTTGAATGAATACCTTGATATGGTTTTACTATTTTACTACCATGATATTCATATATTTTGTGTGAAAGCACTTCACTAGTTTGTTATTATTATTGATACAAAGCTCGAACAAACACAGAAAAATTCTTTCGATCCAACTGAAATCGAACGGCATCTGTAGCCTCAACGTGGCTACGTCCGGTACGTAAGTCGGGTCGAAGAAAGAAAAAAGAAATATTTATTCGACTATTACAAACAAAATTATACAAAGAATCTAAATTATATTAATAAATAAATAACCAAAATACAAAGAAGGATCTTTACTTTATGTTTGTTCGATTTTTGTATTAATAATAATTATTATCAATTTATTTACAGTCCGAATCCTACGACACAGTCCTCGGTTTCAACATGCGTTCAGGGCGGGCCGCGAAAGCCCTCTGGCGTTGTAGCGTAGAACGCCACGGGTTCTTCAGATTACGAGCGCCGCGGCGTCGACCGCCGTTCTTAGGCGCTTTGAGCGCGCTAGCTGGGATATCCGCGCCTAGTGTCCCACGCACCGAAACTCAAGCATTGGAAGATGCCAGAAGAGAACGTCACGGGAGGAGTTTTGTCAGGTATATTAAGTGTGTGTGTGTGAGTATTCTACGCTCAATAGTGATCAACTACCACATCTGCATAATAATAATAACAATAGTGCCAGATAAACCTCGATACTTCCAATGAACACTACGCCTAAATTTTGGACCTGTTATTATTTCGTTTTTTGTTTCTTTATTTTTTTTAGGCAATAACTGTTTACAAAAATAACAGGAAATGGCCAAAAAATAAAGATAGGAGTTCATTGGAGGCGACCTGATCCTAAAATTTGGAAATTTCCTGTACTACGATTACTGGTAAAGCAAAAACATTGTTATAATTATCTACAAGACACTGTCCAGACCATGTCTACCTACTATGACCTGTACTTACAGTTCGCTTATTTAGAATTAGAAAAAACGTAAACAAAGAAGCAGTGATCATAAACCTTTTTCTTCATACAACAACTTACGGTAAAGGAAAACATTGTGCAAATTGATGACAAATGACACTTATAAATGAGAAGACGATATGTTGTTGTTTTACAAAAACGTTCCGTTAAATGTTCGTAACCACAGTACCTTTAAGTTTTTGAAATTTGCAAATTTTTGAAATAGATAATATAATATTTAAAGATGAATAGTATGTAAAGCTTAAATTTTATTTTTAGTGATTACTATGAGTAAAAGAAACATTACAATTACATTTTAGTGAATATGGTTTGTGTGAGAATTTTGTTTCACGTATTTATTAAAGTACTTTGCTTACAAAATGACGGAATTAAATCGCGCCTGATAAAAGACCCAAAATTTCCTTCTGTCTAAGCCTTAAAAAACAAAGTAAATAAAGCTTTTCAAAACCTTAGAACTATGTTTCAATGTATTAAAAAAAAATCCCGCGCAAACAGCACATGTTTTCTCAGAACCCATGACGTAATTGGTAGGTAAACATACAATGTGCAGTTGCCACATGCGAGAATTTTACGGATTGATTAGCTACTATCATCAATATAACATTTTTAGTTTTTGAGTGTGGTGTGTTTGGTGTTTGCATAAGAGATTGAATATATTGCAATTATTTGTTTTATTTACTGATTTAAATACACAAATAATTATTTCTTTTAAATATAAATTGAGTGATCGTTTTTATTATACAAACATTCGTTCTAAGTACATATCTGCACCCAATGTTGGAAGAATCACTAATTCCTAAGATGCATGATATCTTAGTTTAGGAGTTAGGGGATCACTTTTAAATGGCATTTCTTATTTTCTTGTGCAACTAATGTTTTTATGTTTTTTGTTCTCATGCATCTTGTAACATCATTGTTTTTCTTTATTAAATAAATAATAATTATTATTATTGTTTTAGATAGGAAATTAAACTATTTTTTCGGATTTAAATCGCGTGTATTTAATTTTTTCAAACAAACCAACGTTTCGGGCCCTTTACAGGTTCCATGGTTACGTCTGACATGATGCAATCCCGGCGCGTATTAATTAAAAAAAATTGTTTCATTTCTTATTTGCTTAGAGAATATAGGACTGGAGGCGTCATCGATAGGGCTCTGTCAAGGTACAAGCAAAAAACAACCATCGCACAATAAACACTACTTCCGAATCGATGTTTTCTTCATTTCCATTATCTAGTTCACCGCGTCAAGTACTCCACGAACCTGTCGTATTGCGCTATACAAACTTGCAAAAAAATCTCTGCTGCATCCAGTCTAGTCAAGGGTGGAATTGCATTCCATACATAAGCCTATTTTTTACATTTATTGCTAATTTTCTATTTTATGACATTTTTTTCACAATAATCACGTTGATTCAATTTAATGATTCCATAAAAAATATTTGAAAACATTCGAACATTTGACATAAGCCTATGGCTCTACTCACACTGGCGCAGAGTCTAAGCGTCGCGTCTTGTTTTTCAACTCCACCGTCAGACGACGCGCGACGTCACTCGCATTAGTGCGCCTGGATCACAGTTTGGTCGGCGTCTGACGCCTCACGGCGCCCAAGCCTCGCTGCGACTCGCGACGCCGCTCGATTCCATATTTGCAAGACACAAATTTGTACCTTAATAATTGGAAAATATAGATGAATATGCTATAGGCGAAAAACATGACGCGTCGCGACGCTTCGACTCTGCGCCAGTGTTTTTTTTTTTTTTTTTTTTATTGCGACTCGACAAAATGACTGCACCGCGCCTGATGGAAAGTGCGAATACAGTCCAGAGATGAGAGTAACGGATGGAAAACACAAATATCTTCACTCCGTCACTATCATTTTGCCGGTCTGGCCAAATGCACTGGATGTACACCAACTGATCCCTGAACGCGATTCGCAAAAGCGTTTCACTGTGGAGGGTTTTCCGCCGTGTGTACTGTGGTCGCTATCCAGTCGGCACAGAGCCTACCACAATGCTAAGCAGATGGACACTTGTGACGCCCTCGGTCGCCTCTTACGACCCCCACGGGCATGTATGGGGAGGCGACAATGTATTCTTAAGCCGTCGCCCCACGGCGAAAAAGTGAGTGTGAGTTGAGCCTATGAAGTTCCCTATTTACTAACAGGTAATCATAGACAAAAAGTGCAGTATTTCATGGACGCTGTTTTTTCGTTATAGAGAATGTTTTAGTTTTTTTTAAATATTTCTATACATGTCACTACGTTTGTATAGGTTAACTCCGGCCATGCCTGTCATTGGCTCCAATGCTGACTGCGAAAAGCTATAAACTCCGGACATTTTTTCGCGTTTTTTGGATTAGACTTTGGATTGTATTTATTATATCATCCATTAATAGGTAAGTCAATGGGCAATCTTCTCTGGCAAATACATGTAAAGCAATACCACTGTTATACACTACACACAAAATTGAAAAAAGAAATTCACTACATCCAGTCTAGCCAAGGGTGGAATTACATTTTTCATATACGTGACTAAACAGTACGTAATACATATCGACACCATCACGTCGATAACTTTCCGTCTCTAGTATATTCATGCGAATCGATTTATTTTTATAGGCCTATTCTGTGTACGGATATGTGTGTGTGTGTGTGTGTACGGATATGTGATAATGTGTGTTTTATCTGTGTGTTTGTAAAAATAAGCTAGTGTTGTAGACTTTTGTTTGTGTGAGACCATAGTGACACAATTCAATATTTCATTTGAGTGCACCTGTTTGCTTGTAGTACTACCCCCGCCCCTCAAAAAGTTGCAGAAAGTTTTGTTCGAGAAATGACGCTAATAGCGCCTCCCGTCCTATATGCTCTAAGCCTGTTTGTAACGATCGTGAAAATCTAAGAACTCTGTTTACATATATAATTTTAATTGAAACTGCCTCTGTGGCCGAACGGTTACCATGCCGGACTGCCACGCAGAGGTCCCAGGTTCGATTCCCGGGCCGAGAGAAATATTTGTATAGTCTACATTTATTTCTCTCGTGAGTTTGGGTGTAATTTGTGGTTGTCTATGTATGTCCATGGCACCCGCGACACAGGGTTTCCCTAGTGCGGGGCTATGTTGAGTGTGTGCGTTATTATTATAAAAAAAATTATGGTATTCTTGCAGACGCAGCAGTTCGCGCAATCGCGATCGGTCGACGAGTGCGGCGTCGCCGTCCGCGCCCGTGTCCGTGCCCGTGCACGCGCCCGCCGCGACGGCACGCACGTCGCGGGTCACCGGCCACGAGGAACCAGCGCCCCGAGAAGCCTGGACGGACGCCGCGCAGCCCGCGCCTCAGCCTGCCGACGAGTCAGTATGACTATAGCCTCATAGCCTACGAGGTCTTTTCCTCGTAGGCTAAGCCCTCACGGCCCTCGTAAACGGCTATATACAATTATAATACTTGATTTCGGTCCGTAAGCGCGGTTAAAACCAGCCAAAAATCTGAGAAAAAATAGATAATTATAATAATCTTTCTCCGCCACCTTAGCATACAATAGTTAGGTAGTGTGTTGCCAGTTCAGCCCACACTACCTCTATCATGACTCATTGAGTGCGCTGAAGAACTCCCCATAATAATAACAATGATAACGATAATAATAATAAAATTTATTCTATTACCTGTTCTGATACTAGGAAATTTCCCTATACTAGTATACTGTGAGTACAATAGCAACGAAATTCACTCTGTGGCACTACTCTGAATACCCAGATCAGAACAAATTTAGAAAAGTTTATTTCCCAAATTGGTCCTACCGGAAATCGAACTCGGGACTTCCTCATCCAGCGCCCATAGTGCAAACCGTTGAGCCACCGAGGTTTTCATATATGCATCGTATATGCAACGCCCGAACTGACGAAAAGAGACAGTAATATTAGACATCTGCCCAGGTTGAACCTGAACTGAAACAAGTGAAATGTAAATAAAAATGAATATCTCTATGGTATCCGATATGAACGTATGACCTTTTGTCTAGCATAGATACAAACTATAAAAATTAGACTCAATTTCCAATTTAAGAAAGTTTTATTACGTATGGTCATTTTTTTAAACTGCATATTTATTCCGTGATTTGAACATGCGTCGCGTTTCACAGTGATGGCGGTTTCTTAGAACGTGCACTCCGAGTGCCCCTTCCCTACATGGACGAGTCAGAGTCTGGGTCAGAAGCTCAACCCGACGAGTCCGTCGTGATTAGACTCCAGGCGGGTTCCGACGGCCGCTTCGGGTTCAACGTACGCGGGGGAGGGGGAGGTCCGGTGTTGGTGTCTAGAGTCGCTCCTAGAACTAGACTCCAGTTGCAAGAGGGGGATCAGGTGAGTTGAAGCCACGTTTGTACCATTTTGAAGTGGTAGCGATAAAACACCAGGTGGGCTCTGATGGCCGCTTCTACCTTAACATATTACGAGGGAAAGGGGTGAGAAGTCTAAAGTTCAGTATAGGTATAGTTGCGTGCTGGAAAAAACCTCAAAACACGTTCGATATACATTTTCAGACTTGTTTAATCAAGTTAGTTGATAAGGCCATTTGAAATCCAAGCTCATTATAAAAGTCAGTTGATATTTAAGTAACGCAAGTTTTTAGGGTTTGATATTGAATTCCAATGTTCAAGTTAAACGTCTAGGAGGCAGGTCAGTGACCTCGTAGAAACTTACAAGCCCCGATCGGGGCTTGTCCTTGTTTAGGTCATCTACCCGTCGGTAGAAGCATTTTCCTGTATTATTTATATTGTAACATTATTGCGATTGCTTATTTGTGGTTAACTAAAAAAAATAGAACAAGTGATATGTGCAGTGTGTTTCTTATTAACTGGGACAGAATGGGGGAAATCCAAAACCATAGGAGGTGCAGGGAACCTAATCTTACGAACCATTCAAGTCTTTGTGAGAATAATTTTGGCATAGTAATTTTTGTGTTGAAGCGTGTGTTGTCCATGAAAGTGAATAAAATTGATTCTTTTTTTTTAGTACTGAGTTGAAGTTGGTTAAATTTCATAGAATGTTTTTCATACAAAATGAATAAAATTGACTATTTTTTTAATGCTGACAGATTTTGTTTCTATAAGAATGATTTACGACAAATTGAACAAATGCAATATTATTCATTTTGTATGAAAAAAACTTCATATTTAAATTTGACCAACTTTTGCTGACCCGATTCTTTTCTTCCTATGCAATGAAATCATCCTTATAAGCAACAGAGTCTATTAGCACTAAAAAAAAATCGATGAATTTAATTTAATTTATGGACATACAATTTTCTATGTCAAAATTGTTTTCACAAAAAAGATTTAACGGTTCCTAAGACAGTTTCCTTCTATCGTCCATGGTTTCGGATTTCCCCATACTGTCACATTAAAAAAACACTGTATATCTTGATAGCTCTAATTAAATGTATTTCGTAACAGTTTCTACATAGTTTGTCGGGAGGATAGTCTTCCGAAAAATATATACTTTTTGGGAAAAAATTATGAAAAATAAAATTCCTAAATATTCCGAAAAATTGGTTTTGCAACAACTCATCGCAAAGTTAAGATAAATGTAATCTACCTACATAGGTAGGTTGGGGATAGCCCCGATAGCCTACATTTTTAATGTACTTAAGTGATTACATATGTAAGTGAAATAAATAAATAGATTTCCCGCATCCCGAAACGATCCAGGACCTAAAAAATATTGTCGTAGTGTCTTTGTCTCTGTTCTTCGAAATTTGGGTAAATCAATGCTTATGACGCAGACAATATGAGTTGAATTTCTGACAGGGTTATTTAGAAAAGTTAACTTTTCTAGTGGTCCGGGGTGGGTGCTTCGGGAGACACTATTGTTTCTAAACTATACGTCGTAGCTTATGATTAGTTCCATGAAAGGTGCATTTTTTCGGTAAATGTAAATGAAAAAAGGGGTGTTAATTTCTCTTGAAGTAATAGATTAAAATACCCGCATAAATAAATGATTATCACTACACTACTATTCCATGGTCACGGGTTGACTCAACCCGTGACTATGGAGCGTGCAACCGTTCCGAAATATTGGGAAAATAAAAAGAAGTCATACCGTGGTAAGAAACCTGATACTAGTGATAATCATTTAGTGAATAACCACGAAAGTCTTAGGGTCGTATTCTAGAACTCTACTCAATGCTCAAGTCAGGATTGCACTGGAAACACAAGCATTGGAAATACGACCGTAATGGCAGGGACTTGAGTATGATTTCGAGTGCTTTAAATCATACTTATATTCTGACTTGAGCATTGAGTAGAGTTCTAGAATACGACCCTGCAAATCTATACCCGCATAAATAGTCATTATTCACATGATAATTGATAAAAGAAAGCGACTGATGGGGTGTTATCATTAACCTTAAGTCTTTTCTTTGTTTTCTTTTTCTTTCTGTAATATTCTCTATACTGCACTATAATATGCTTGTAAACTTGTTAAATAACCGAACCACTGTCTTTCATAACACAGCGTAGCCTAGCTTGAAAGTTAGGGGACAGATAACCTTGAGTCAATAACTAACAAGCCTAACATGGTAAAATAGCTCTTATTTAGTTATAATACACCATTACTTGTAAAAGGCTTAAATTAAATAAATTATTATTATTATTATTAAATTATTATTATTTGCTGATCAACGGTGGAGGTCAACGACCTATTCAAAGTACGAAGTTTTTGCTCTGAGTACCTCCCAGTAGTTGTGCCAAACAGCAGTCGTTTCTATGACCTAGGGTTGTAATACAGACTTTTCAAGCAAATCTTTGTCATTGAATAACTCTGAAATTATTACATTTAGAGCCAAAACTTCCAGTATTACTGAATTACTTTTTAATCCAGATATTACTTTTTAAATTGCGACACTTATACAATGTATGTATTTACCCACAATTTGTATTGCAGGTGATATCAATAAACGGCAATGACGTTGAGGAGATGACACACGAACAAGTTGTTCAGTTGATTCGAAACACGAGAGGGACTCTCACTCTGGTCGTTAAACATAATGGTTAGTATATAATAATGTATTTTTTTTTGTAAATTTACAAAGAAGTTTTAGTTTCAGACTTGTTAGTTTTCCATAGATTTGTGCGTAGTAGAATAAGACAACTAGTAAAACTTCATGGTGTTTAAAAAATGATTATAGAGTAGTGGTTTAAACAAGAGTGCCTCAAATTCAGTTTTTTTTTTTATAAAAAAAATAAGAGTCCATTTGTCCTACGACTCACCTGATGGAAACTGACGATGACGTCGACCTTGCACCATGTATATCTAAATAATGCCTGTTCACTCTCGCCTATAGCGTTTAGGGAATAATTCTGCAGTTAGTCCATAGCTGTCTGCCATATAAGTTTGGATGCGAAATGCTCTGTTTGAACCCTTGAACCCCGAATACCCACAACATACATACATACATAGGGATGAAACTGAAACTGGAGTTTCATCCCTATGTTGTGGGTATTTCAAGGGTCGGGGTCGGGAGATGACCTAGGCTGGAGTCGAATTTTTCAGCATTTTATGTCTATTTCATAATCATGTTTCCATAATCGAAATACCAATCCGCGCTGGTATAAAAAAAAAGTAAGTACTGAATTTAACAAAGGTTATTTCAAATTGTGCTTACAACCTGTAGGCACAAATAAAATAATAATATGACAACCCTATGCTCCGCAGGACGTGTAGGCCTGGATACGCACTACGTGTCTTATATGCTGTGATGATATAATTTTCTGTTGTTTATTTTGCAGCGGTATATGAGCCAGAAGAAGGCGGCACCGAAGAACCTGCAGTGTGCTTCGTACCTCTGGGCGCTGGGGACTTCGAAGGTGACGCATTGGAACAGTCCATGCTTTTGCTAGGAGACGGCCTGGCCAGTGGCGCTGCTCTGAAACAGGTACTTTTATTTATTTATTTTATCTGCCTCCGTGCCTGAACGGTTACTACCATGCTAGCTTGACACGCAGAGGTCACGGGTTAGATTCCCGGGCCGGGAGAAATATTTGGAAGGCCTAAATTTATTTCTGAGTTTGCGTGTCATTTATCGTAGTCTATACATATGTGTGTCCATAGTACTCACGACACAGAGTTCCCCCAGTACGGGGCTATGAGTGTGTGCGTTATTTCTTTATTTATATTCAGGTTACACTTGACCAATAAATACATACCTTCTAGACTAACATACATATAATAATAATAAAATAAAACACTATTTATTTATGCATGTGCACTGCGACGTGTGACGCAACGTGGGTGTCTGGTAAGCAGCCTCGGAAACGTCGATACATGACAGACACACTTCGGCCAAAATTCTTCCATGTTTTGTTGATACACTCACCACAAATAAATGAAAATTCACACTGTGGCGGGACTACCCCCGTCCAACTTTAAACTCATTCTATAGATATTCAGCGCGAATAGTCAAATACATTTCCGAAATTTCTTCAGTACTTACAGTGTCGGGTGTCGGTAATAGCTAGTGAAAATATTTGGCAGTTTCGTTAAATAATACAGCGCATCCTAGCTAAAAATTATTTTTTTAAAGCATGTGGAGATCCCGAGTTCGATTCTCGATAGAACCAATTTGCAGGCCTGATCTGGGAGTAGTGACCCGAAGTGAATTCCGTTGATCGGCTACTCATAGTACAAGGAATTTCCGAGTCTGTGAGCCCAATAAACCTGGGCTCACAGACTTAAAACACAGAGTTAAAGTTGTAAGGAACACGTGGCTTTGAACTGCCAATCTAACACGTTAAATCATGTGTTGTTTATTTTTATTTTTTTCATTTCAGTATGAACAATTACTAAGAAGACTGCCCGAGGAGCCATGTGCGGCATCCAAACTTCCTCTAAACCTAAACAAGAATAGATATAGAGATATAGCACCTTGTGAGTATAGCTTCAAATTCATGCTTTTGTGCGTCTCACGGCTGGAAACGGTTCTCCTCCAAGGAAAAAGTGAACCCTGAAAGTTTTCGCGCGGCGACCGCCCAGTTACCGCGCTTTCACGTACATTAATGACGAATCTGAATTTTATGTACTAGGCAACAACATTTAAATTCCTCGGAATAATACAACCACGTGGCCGCCGCGTAGACCATAGACAAGCCAGTCTCGCCCGCGCGCCCGAGACGCTCATTTAAGTTAAAACGTAAAATCTAAACTAATAGAGCGTATTTTCCCATGACAGTTAGATGCACAGTACCATGCAACGTGATGAAAAAGTGTTGAATAAACGCGACTACAGGGATGCATGATGAGGCTGAAAAATTCTTTGTCCCTATAATTTCTCAGAAATATTATCTTCGAAGACTGCAAACAGAATGCCAAATATCCAATTTTTTTTAGTATTATCCCAAGTGACAGTCAACAAGTGGTGTGTTAAGCGACACGCCTGTCTATAGCAGTTTCAGTGCTCACTTAGAGCTTTAAATCACAAAGATCTGAGAGACACGGCCACAGCGCCTGTCACCCAGAGGCATAAATTGACAAGTCCCATGTGCCTCTAATTTCACCAGCACTGGAACGTAGTAATGCTCACATTACTTCTTGGCTGCAGAAATAGGTAATGTGGCAGTACTTCTCCGGACGAACTCTTTAACAAGGAGCTCTGCTGCTACCATAACCATGTATCTCCAACTCAACACTTCAGTTGTATAATGGGGGTTGCCAGGCACCTTTGGCATTACCTACCTCACACAACGTAAAAATAGAAACACGGTACTTTTAACCAAATACTTTTCAATATAAATAGATCTGTAATTTGACTCTATAATCACAAAAATATATTATTTAGTTAGTAACGCTTACATTATAATATGAATTACATCGGTTGTTCTCGGACTTTATTATTTAAATATTCAAGTATAATATCGTGTAATTATTAAATAATATTGCGCGATAAAAAAATCGAGTACTTATACAATAAACATTGCCACGGATATTAGGTAGTGAACACTATACCGAGAATGACCGACATATTTGTTGAAAAAAAACTCTGTCTTTATTTACAGACGATTCGACGCGAGTGATACTGAAAAACGGAACAACAGGAGATTATATTAACGCTTCCTACATCAACATGGAGATACCAAATTCTGATTTAGTACTGACCTATATTGCTACACAAGGTGATTTTGTTTCTTAATATAATAACGCACATACTCAACATAACCCCGCACAAGTGCGGGGGTATGTTGAGTTTCCCTAGGGAAACCCTCTGTCGCGGGTGCCATGGACACACACATGGACAACCATAAATTACACCCAAACTCACGAGAGAAATAAATGTAGACCATACAAATATTTCTCCCGGCCCGGGAATCGAACCTGGGACCTCTCAGTGGCAATGGTAACCGTTTGACCACAGAGGCAGTTAAAGAAATCTTCTATTTTGACTCAAAGAAATCTCAAATGGTCTTTATTTCATAGGTAAACAAATTCTTATGTCAGACTCCCCTGAGAAAAATTAGTTAGAAACTCAAGGGGTTGTTCTTTGTAAATAAACATTTGTTATTGAAAATTGTCCAAAGAAAAACGGCGGCGTCTCGTATAAATTTTTGTTGACGTACTTTGCATGCGTCTGCTTGTGAAAAGTATGTGAAAATATAGAGTTTAAATTCCTAAACAAATTTGGGTTTTACTATTCTGAGAAGTCTGAATCGGATTTTTGAACTTTTGGGGGTTATATTTTACTTAATTGAATAAAAAATATACGGTGCATTGATCGGGAAACGAACTTTTTTGAATAGATTCTCGTCTGGGTGTTCTGGGAAGAGCCCCAGAGTAAATTCCGTTGCTCTGGTGCTAATAGTACAGGGAATTATTCTCTAGTTTAAAGCAAACTATTATAATATTTTGAAAGTCAGTTTTACATTCAGTATAAAATTGTAAATCCTGTTCATTAATGAAACACATCAATGACCAAAGAAAAAGGAACAAAGCGACAGTGATATTGCGACTAAGTGTTCAGTGATATTATTTTTCTTTTTATTTCCATCGCACAAAATCATGTAAGGCCGCAAAATCTTCAATAACACCGACGCGTCTATTTTTTTTTTTCAGGGCCACTGTCATCAACAGTAGGCGATTTCTGGCAGATGGTATGGGAAAGCGAAAGCAGCCTTGTAGTGATGCTAACAGTTCTAGCTGAGAGGGGCCGGGCCAAGTGCCACCAGTATTGGCCGAAAGTAGGCACTACTCCGCTTAAGGCGACCAATTCACTGACACTGCTTACCAATAGCGAACAAAACCTTGGACATTATATTAGAAGAGAGATGACACTTAAGGTAATTGGATTTTTCTTCCTGTAAAAGCCTTTTCACTAGAACTTGTAATACTAGTAAAAAATAAAATTAATGCATGAGGCCACACACTTTACTGATAATTATTTAGACTCGGTGTTTATAGAACGACTTCCAAGATCCATATTATTTACATATGTAACCTTTATTTTTCATTGAATATCATCATTTTAATTTTATAGCCGTGTTAACCCAATACAAACCTTGTTAAGAAGCACATAGAGAAAATCGTAAGATTTGCTAACTTGAACTGCAAGCTCTGTTGATAAGCGAGCAACAGCCCTCGTTTGCTTCATTTTTATTAAAGTCATACGCAGGATTGCACACTGCACTAACAATGCCACTTTCTAAAGTCTCATCTACACTACAGTGTAAGATTAGATTATGACTAATATAAAAAATTACGCAGACGAGTGTAGATGCTCGCTTACCAACGGAGCTTACAGATCGAGTTAGCAAATCTTACTATTTTCTCCGTGCTTCTTGCGGAGGTTTGTATTGAGCCATTGCGGCTATTTTGCCGTAGCGCCACCTGTGAGAAATTCAAGAAACTTACTAAAGTCTGTTCCAATTCATTATACCAAAAAAGTAAGCAAACAGGTTTGGTTAAAATTCTAAAGCAATCACTATCAATGGAATAAGTAACCCTTTCACGTATATTTTTAAATGTTTGACTTATTCGATATGTCATCACTTTAGCCAGCAATATTTATTTGAATAACATATTAAAATCCTAATTGAAAAATGCCTACTTTTACATTTTACATTACTTCAAAAGTGAGGTTATTTTTCAAAATATAGATTTGTGAATGGTCTATGGTTGCATAGGGCTGTACGGAAATAACTAATTCGGTGAATTCAATTAAAGTTTTTGTAATCAATTGGTGAACTGAAAATTTAATCACAAATGAACGAATATCTAGTGTTTTGGCCACACGGATGCGGCCGCGGAAGCGTTCCGGGCGCGGGAATTTTTGTAATGTACGAATTGAACCCTGTCACACTGAAACGCGAGGCCGCCTCTGTGTGGCCTAAGCATAAATGTAAGGATTTGAAGGATGATTTAAAATTAGATTTTACATTTGCTTTTAAAGGATACGTAAGAAAAAAAATCTAATCTCATGTATGAAATATCATCACTAAGTATTGAATCCTATATTTTTTATAGTAACCGGCAGCGAAATCGCCCGTTTTATTATATACTAAACTCAGTTATTCCAAATGATTCAATTAAACAAATTGATTCATTCAATTAATTAATCGTTTTGTAGTTGTTAGTACAGTTGGCCATCACTAAACTGTCTATGGTCGGGTCAATGATCTGTTTGTTTACTTTTCTGGTATAATGGATTGGAACAGACTATACCACGATATCCATATATTTTTTGGCAAAATACTCCACTAGCTTATTATTATTGCATCCAGTCGGATCGAAGAAATTTTTCTTTGTATTTGTTCGATCTTTGTATCAATAATAAAAAATCTATTTTTATTTATTCCAATATTTTATAATCTCTGTTACAGGACAATAGTGGCGCAACCCGTAATATAACCCAGCTGCAGTACACGGCATGGCCGGACCATGGCGTTCCAGATGACTCAAGTGCCTTTATAAGCTTCACGCAGCTCTGTTCAAAGCTTCGGAACCATCGTGCCGGTTAGTAGAATCGACATTATCGATAGCTCATTGTCATTAATAGGAATTGATCCTATCATAGAATCAAGACTGCTAATCGCGATACAAGACATCGTAGTCGGGTTTTTAGTACATCTTGGTACATCATATGTCGCGACGATTACCAAATAGCTATTTTTGTACCTAATTTCTTTTACATTGACAAGCTGCAATTTAGTTACTCTAATTTCTAGTGATAACAAACAATCAACTAGATGGCGCTTATTACAGATATTCTTTTATTTTGTTTAGGATTAGCGCCCTCTACCCTTATTAGAAAGCGTTAATTTATAAATTAGTTTGTAAAGCGCAATTCGAGGCATGGACTAGAAGCTGGATGGCAGATGCGTCCAGAGTGAAGCACTACCGCTTGACCCAAGAGTTTATCCCTCGCAAGTGAGATGAAATGTAACAAAAAATCTACCTCCATTATTTGTACTCTACGACACGGTCACGTGACAACTCCTGCCTACCTGTTCGAGCTCAAAATTGTTCCCGACCCTGCATGCTCATTCATCCAAATTCCGTACCTCTTCCATAATCTGTAATTCTGCTTTCAACACCATTTCATTGGCTAAATGCGAAGGCAAAACCACTAATATATATATATATCCACGGCCATTTACAATATAAACTACTTCCAGGCTATTGAACAGCGTTATCTAGATTTGATCTTTTTCAGAATTGCGATCTGTAATATGGGGATTAGTGTAGTGTCCGCTCATACAGTAATAACCTATTGGTATTTAACTCGTCTACGTACCACTACGCGCCTAAGGGTTGATGGTAGAATACTGACTGTGGACTGTGTAATGAAAGTGGACTTCTACACCCGCACCACGTGACATACTTTCGAGACAAATCATAGACAATCCGCATGCGCTGTACTACAATTAACAGTCGTCTTGAATTATTTGTCCATGATAAAAGTGATTAAAAACGTTGTTCACGTTTAGGCAGTTTTTTAACTCTCCTGTTTTTGTTTTTTATAATCTTAAGTCACGGGACGAACAAGTCGTGCGCCTGATGGTAAGCTACACGCCTGTCCATAACGGTTGCAATGCCACTCAGAACTTTACTGATAGAGCATTACTGCTTGGCGGCAAAAACCGATTCCTGTTCAACATCTCGACGTTTCTTTTACTGCGAATCCCTAATTTTACCATTCACAAGGGGTGGGGTGTGATAGTTGAATTCGATGACAGGTGTATCAATTATATACAGTTATAGGTATAAAAGTTTAAAATCAACAAATACCTTGAGTAAAGCCAATCGCATTACAGACTAACGATTCGAAACGAAAGAATGTTCACAGTTAAATTTGTCCAGTAGGACTAGCGCGACAGCGACATAAAGCGCGAGATACTGCTATTCTCGCATATAGATTCGCACTTTATGTCGCTCTCGCGCAAGTCGCGCCTTATCGTGCTAGCTCTACTGGTATTCTCACTAGTCGCACCCAAATAGGGCTCCTTGTTAATTTGTTAAATCAATTAATTAGTTTTTTCCATTCCAGTAATACCAACCGTTGTTGAAGAGCTAAACGGCGAAGAAGAACGCGTTCTTGATCCTCCAATGATCGTGCACTGTTCCGCGGGAGTGGGACGTACAGGGGCATTGATACTCGCTGAGACTGCGATAGAGTTGATTTCGCGTCGCCAACCGTTGTACCCACTCGATATAGTACGCTCTATGCGTACTCAAAGGCCTATGTGCATACAGAACGTGGTAAGTACCTTAATAATAGTTACAAACGTGTTAATTTAAAATTTCACCTGGTTGTTATAAAACAAAAGTCGTTGATTACTCAAACTCCTAAAAGGATCTAAGACGAGATATTTAGCTGCACGAGCAATGCGGTATAATATCAATCTAATATCTTTTATGAATATTTTTTTAATGTATTTCATGACCATGAATACAAGTCCGTCAGTCGAAATATCAGAGACAATAATATACATAGAAAGTAATATAAAGAAGTAATAGCATAGTATAGTCTGTCTTTTTTGAAAACGGAGTAGAATGACATTTGTTGCCTGTTTTCAGAAAATTTTTAATAGTTATGTAGTTACTGTCGATAGTTATATCGATGGATTGCGAAAGAAGATGAAATTTTCCCAAACATGAGTGAATTGTGAATGTTACGACGTTCTAATGACCACTAATTCGTTATTGCCTTCTTTGTTCTTATTTAGACAGTTTGCCTACTAGTATCGAGATCAATTTTTATTCATATACATTTTAACGAGAAGAGCCGGATTTGATTATCTATATCGAATTAAGATGAAAAACTTTAAAATATGTCTCTTTGTATTTTTCATAAACTAGTTCTAAATACTGTGTATGTATGTATGAACTTTTACGACAAAAATTTACAATTCAAATGTACTTGTGCTCAGTAATTGGATGAATAAGGGGGCGAGGATCATTCAAATGAAACAATTCGGCAATTTACTCCATAAGTGTAACCAATATTCAGTCGATAGCCGATAGCATATTTATCTACTGCAATCACTAGCTACTCGCAAGCGGGCTATACTTTTGCCAATGAACTGTCATTTTAGTCCGTCTTCAAAAAAGACAGACTATAGTAGATCAAAATTAATTAAAAAAATATATACTGTTTACGATAAATTTAAATACAACAATGAACGTATTCTTAACGTGAATATCCAATTTCGTAGTTTATTACATTTTTTATTTATTTCATAACCGTGGATTCAAGATATGGAAACAGAGATAATAATACCAGAAGTGTTGTTAACCTTGACATTCTATTTTCCTATTTATAATATAAGATTCCACATAGACCTAAACCTAAAGAATGCATCAAATGAAAATATTATTAATTTTGTTTTCTGTATTTATTGACAGAGTCAATACAAATTCGTCTGCGAAAGCATACAGACCTACTACTCACAAGGGATCACAAAAACGACGGACAGTGGACCTAACTGATCGTGCCTAGAAATATAGCGGTAACTAACATTATACAAACCTGACATGGTATTAAAATCATATTAAAATGATTGCGACGATATGAAATACAGTATTTTTCAACGTAAAGTTGATAGCCATAATTAGCATTTCAGTATTCGAATGGTAATGAATGTTTACCAACATATGTTTACCACAGCGATTAACAGCGTTGTTGATTATTTAATGCACATGTATAGAGCAAAAAATCCAATGATTGTCACTTAAAATTCAATTATTGGCACTCACTCTTGATTTTGTTTAAACATACAAGGTGCCAATAATTGAAAAATAGGCTACTTTACCCTAAGGAAAAAATTCATTATGAATAGGTGAATTATCACAAGTTACTGTGAACATTACTTTGAGGTTTACGTGCTTTAGTGAAACTGTACTCGATCACAGCGGTAACGTTATTACGTATTGTGACTTTCAAATATTTCATCTCCCGTAGCATGGCTACGCGTGGTGGTCGCGATACGCGCGATAAAATTGGAATAAGCACGCGCTATTGGCTGTCTCAATCAGATGCGTACCCATGCTATGGGGGCTGATCTCGCTTGCACGCATTAGACAGACTGAGAAATAATGGGACAGCTGATTTGGTGTTGTTTAGATGGTAGTTTAGTCATTGTTATTCTCGTCATGCTCAGTAAATGTTACACACTAAATTCAATCTCATGTATTTTAGTAAAAATGCGTTATAAATAATTAGAAGGCGCCAACTAGTAGAACAATATTGAGGTTTATAGTCGAGTGCTGTCATTGAACTTTTAAAACAAAATTGTGCTATTGCTAGCTTAAGTACGGTCTGTCCACACCAGATAAACTTTCGGTAATTCATCTATTCATGCGACAAACTTTCATTTGTGAATAATTAGAGCACTGTAACTCTGAAACTATTTCGATACTAATTGTAGTTTGCAAGCGCGTTACGTATTTTTTCAGATTTTGTAAATTAGTACTTTCTGAGATATTTTGTAAATAAAAAACAGAGTTACGTGACGAAACTGCTTCTTTTTCTAAATATAATGTGTAATTCTCGAATAACAACGTATTTACTACATATCACTCGTTATTCTGTTCATTAAGTTAATATTGAACAATAGTCTTTTTGTTATGTGAATATTTTCGTTACGAAGATCGATAGTTTTAAATCCTAGGTAAAAATCTTGCCTTTTTAACGAATTTAACGTTTACTAATTTTAATACGGTTAATGTAAGTTTAATTTGGTATTTATTTGACAACGATTAAGGCTAGATTCAGATGAACGTACACCTGTCAAGCGTCGGCGTACGTTGACGCGCGTTGGAACGTTCAGATGACGACAGGCATCCCGCGGTGCCCACAAGTATTTGCAGTGAACGTACAGTAGAACTCCTGCAAAATTTCATCCAGAGAAGCACTGCCATCTTGCCTGTTTCTGCCGCCAAGCAGTAATGTCATTACTGTGTTTCGGTTTTGCAGGGTAAGGGCACGCGCAACGTCAGACGCACAACTTGTTCGTCCCGTCACTTAATATTATTAAAAAAAGTGGCAGTGCCTATAATTCTAAACTCGCGGGTACGAACGTTTTGAAGTATTTTCTCTAAACGCAGCGGTACAGCACGTTAACGCACGGTATCGCGCATACATATGAACGAATGTATCTAAAGTGTATATCGCGTATTTTAAAAACGCTCGTTAAATTTTTGTCGTCTAAATTTAGCCTTAGACTATTTTTAATTGCTTTTTACCTGTGCCATTTACAAAGGTTGTTTAATTTGAAAGTCATTGTATTATGACAACTTTACGATGATATCTGACAGATGATCTCAATCTAACCTTTAACACGAAAAGTTATTCAATCAATATGGTATATATACGGCTGCTCCAGAATAAAACTTGGTAAGAGACAAATTTCTTGATAGTCATTTTTTAACGGAATATTACTCCTATGGTAAGTACTCATAGCGATGACGGCCGCTTCAAAATTCGACAATTTATCAAAGATTTCGAAACTTAAAATCTAGTTAGGTACATTTACCTGCCAATAATCTTTTAAGTCACTTTACCCAATTCAAAACATAACAAGTATTTTGACAGTTGCTAGGTTTTACAGTAGTTAAAGTGTAGGAAATAAAACTGTTTTTCCGGATTTAAATCGCGTATATTTATTTTTTCAAACAAATTCGGGCCTTAAATCGGGATTCACAGGGTCAGGATCGGTAAAAACAGTTTCATTTCCTATGTGTAACAATCGCGAAAACCTAAGAACTCGATAGTTAAAGTGTCTTACTTAAATTTTCAATTAGTGGATAGTGCAACTTTACTGATACTGAAAATATTAGTCGTTTTATTAATTAGTCAAACAAAGTTGAATTTTATTCTAAATTTTCAGCAAATGCTTATATTGTGTTTTGATTCTGGCGGTTATAGTAAGTAACTTTACTTAATTTCCTATGCGCAACAATCGCGAAAACCTAAGAACTCGATATGCACACCAGAACGGACTGCACGTTGCAAATAAAATCCGGCTGTACGAAGACCTCAAGTACAAACGTGCGCGCGCCCTAACTGATTGTCAATGAACTTTACTTAATATTCATAGTTAGTAAGGGTAAGGGTAGTTTACATGTAATATAGCACGTTAAAACAGTAGTGTATAAACTCAAAGAGAGTTTTTTTTTTTCAGAATCAATGTAAAACTGATTACTCATTTCCCGTGAAAGATTAATAAAATTTAGATATAGGTTAAAGTTTATTGCAGATATGTAAACAATATCCTACTTGCCAAATATATTTGAAAAGAAAAAAAAAAATAATTTCATATTTTTGTGTAAGGACTGTTTTGCCCAGAACTAGCTCACAAAAATTTTGTCTCAATATTCTAACGACGGTTTAATTAACGTGTAGAGAATCAAATTTTACGTTTAGCAATAGTATAATGTTGAATTTCACACGTTTTGAGTTCCGACACTAATGTAATAGTAGTGCGATATATTAGTTGTAATCATTTTTGTGACACCAATCTCGTTGAATGGTAACCTAATACTATTACTTTTTATATTAAAGTTTAAGGGCGACCTATGTTTTTGGGCTTTCCTGAAAAATTTTGTCTAAAGCACTTACTAGATTTTGTTATGGGGCAGCCGTATAACATACGATCAAGCCAACACGTTTCCTCGATGGTGATCAGTTCATGCTGTACGGGCATTAACATGTCGGAACAAATGCTATGTAACAATTGGCATTGTTGATTGATGCGTCTTACTGGACGCGTTATTCCAAACCTCATTTTGATATGTAAAGTTTTACGAATTTATAGGAAAAAATCCCCCCTAAAACTCTCGTAGATTATTCAAGGTCACGCTGTATATGTACATATGTAGGACATAATGTGACTCTAGTGAAAAGGGGTACCAGTAAAAACCCCAACTACAAGGAGACGTGAAAAACAGTTAAAGCTTCGTGTGATATTAAGCGTTCAGTGTTTCCTTCTAAACTTGGCTTTTTTACTTGTACCCCTTTTCACTAGAGCCACAGTATAAAGGTGTAGATGGATCACGGACTATATGCCGTAATCTCCGTACATACATAGCAGATAGGTTGGAGATCGTATTAAAGTTACAGAAAATAATAACATATGAAATTCGTTATTATTTACACCTTTTAAGAATTATAATTAAAAGTAAAATTGAGTCTTTACAGTGAATTAAAAAGTGTATGATAACATCGTGCAGCTGTCACCACGTTGAATTTAGCTATTCATTGTAACTCAACAAGGCTTAGGGACGTATAAAAACCACTGTTTGTAAGTGTGTAGCAAAGTAGTATTCTCACGTATGTAGGACATACAGGGTGACTGCGGGATGGTGTACTAACATGATTAATTATGACTTTGTTGCAGGTCCTTTAATAACACAGCTTTTCCTGACTACTTTTATTAATTTTTGAAAAGTGTATATTACACTTGAAACTTTCTTTAACTTAATCTTTAATCTTAATATAAAACTTTCTGGATAATATTTTCACGCTTAATGCGCTTATTCTTAATATTTTAATACTTATTCTGAACTTATTATTGATGTATTGGATCTTATTAGATCCTCGTCTATATAAATAAATGTTCGACATCATCATACCTTGCTCTGATCCCAAAGTAAGTAACTATACCTTGCTCTGATCCCAAAGTAAGTAACTAAAGCACTTTAGTTATGGAAGTCGGAAACAACAACGTTACCACAAACACGCTGACCCGGTATATGGACAAAGACAATATCGAAAAGTTACTTTTCTAGTACAGTTTCTACATTGATCCGGCCGGGGATCCAACCCGGGACCTCAGGAATGGCGACACCATGAAAACCGGTGGTATATTAGGGTTACAACTTTTATCCATGCAAATAAAAAATATAATTTAGTTCCTATTATTCAGGATCATGGTCAAATGACATTTTAGCAATTGCTTTATTTAGTATCATTATTGTCATGACTGTGACGTTGAAAATATCTTATTTGTCTGATCAGCTTTCTAAAAGGTTTTAACGTGAAGTTCAAGATGTCCGTAATGTCAGTAATAATTTGGGATCATAATATGCTTTACTGTAATTATTTAAATATATATATATATATATATATATATTAATGAAATCGCCATCATTTACAGAGGTAGAAATCACGTTAGGGATCATGATCCCGCAGTCAACCTGTATAGCACTCAATAATAGAGTGACGAAATTGAAAAGTAACATTTTTGGGAAAATTACAAACAGAAACGTACATAATAAAACCAATATATCGGGTTTCATATCAAATAGATTTTAATCATATTGTGTACCAGTCAAATGATATGGCCATTGCCACGTACGTTTTTTTTTAAATATATTTTGTCAGTTAACCAAAAATTACTTTTTTGAATTAATTTGTTTTAGTAAATTTTACTTTACAGTGGTAGGATTGTAAGCATGGTTTTAGTATGCAATGCCATTTTACGTTAACCAATTCCCTTTAAAAGAATTTCTTTTTTTTCACATGAAAAGTAAGTCTTTAAAGTCTGTCAAATTAGATTTTGGTCTTGTCATCTTAAGTTTTGAAGAACTATTTTGCAATTGACAACACGAACAGTCGAGTATCTCTACTCCCGTTCTCCTCTGTCTAAAACTATTTCTGTCAAATAAGTAATACTCGACCAAGTTAAACCAAGTTAAAAGACGCATGATGCGGATGAATTTGACATTCTATTTTCATTTGGTCGAGTGTTACTTATTTTATAGTAATTGTCTCGGACGGAATATCGAACGAGAACGAGAATAGATCCACAGGGTCCAATAGTAACTTGTCATACTATACGTTAAATTGTTTAGATTTTAAACTACGTTCTAAGTAAGAAACACTCGTATATTATTTGCTTGTAATCTAGTCAACACTTGTATGCGAATAAGGTCTCATAACTACAATTCTTGCACTTAGTATGTCAATAGCAAATTCACGTATACTTGTGATATAGTACCTTTGTTATTGGCATAATATTACCTATCTATATTTGTCGTAGAACAATGAAGTTGTAGCTTAAGTAAATAAATAATTAAGACGCGTATTTACAATATCGATCACGAATTGATTATACGTACCTTGTGTTTGATATGAATCAAAAGAGCTCTATAAAATTCATCAAAAATCGAGGATACAAAACTTACTTGTCAGCCTGCCTTTATACCGATACCTCCAATGAACACTACGCCAACTTAATTTTTTTTTTCTGTTATTTTTGTAAACAGCCATATTTATTTATTAATATTATGTTTCTCCAAATTTTGTGGAAAAAAAAAATAAAGAAACAAAAAACAAAATTCGAAAAAAAAGCAGTATTTGTAGTAAAGGATTACCTAATAGGAGCGCATTTGAAAGTGCTCGGATGGCTACGAAACCTGAAGAGATTGTTGTAGAAAAATAAATCCAAACCAAGGATATACATATTCGCTCGACATGGCGCTTTACACTTTTTACCTTTCCACTGAGACGATGTTGAAAAGAATTGCAGAAACTGTTTAGTGAAGATCGATAATAAAATAAATGCTTTTAAAGAAATTATATTCCATATCATCTCACTGCCTCCAAAGTCATTATTACAAAGACCAAGAGTTTATATCTTATAAAAGTATTGTTAATTAAATTAGTTTTAATCTAACCTCACTGGGTTATGGCGTGTGTCATATAAAAAATACAATAATATATATTTTATCTGTATGCGTTTTCTAAAAAACAAAGTAATCTACAAATATTTTATTTTTAAAATTTATATTTCTGTTTTTAATTTATTTTCTACATAACAAATTACTAATGTTTATGAGTATTAGTATTTTTAGATGTAAGTAATTTTTTTCATAAGGTTAAAATCAATGTAAATAAATAAAAATAAGGATGTGTAAAATTTACAAAATACGCTTGTATTTCTATTAATTTTTTTAGCATGATGGGATTCTAATTTATGTACATTTCTTTTACAGTCAGATTTAAGTATTTTATTATGTTTGAGTATTAAAGAAAAAAAAATTAAAGCGCCATTAAATATCAGAGTACAGAAAGGAATTAATACATAAATGCTTAGTAAAGTCTTTCGTAACTAGACATCGAACTGAAGAACTTAAGAGTGCATTACGAAATGAATATTAGTTGTCGTATTTTATGGTCTATCTTTTTTAAATTAGTATCCCATTTTGAATTTGAAGTTTAATTGGATACAACTAAATAACTTAAAAGTATAAACCATTTGACTGTTAAAATTAATATTTAAATATAGTTTTTAACTGTGTGACTGACAGTAGTTGTAATTTTGGTGTTTCGTTCAATTAGAGGTCGAGTGAACATGTCATGTTTTTTACCTTGTGATTACTACGACCCGTGCTGTGCATTTTTCTGTGACAAAATAAATGAAAAATTTTAATTACCAATTCGTTTTATTTCGATTTAGTAATTTTCTTTTTTATAGTTATGGCCGCGCTCGTCTTTCGGCATTCTTACTAATATTAAAATACCATATTATGTCATCTACCAGCGCTCTATACTTTGTGTAAGGGTTCACTTATGGCGTGTTTACACTGCGTCGCGTCGCCTCCGCTTGTCCGCCGAAGTCAGCAGCCTTCTTAGTGTAGACACTCGGTCACTTAATTGGCTGCTAGTTGTTAGTTGATCGAGTTGACTAGGTAGGTGTAAACATTGTCAGGCGACTCTGTCACCTTCAACAAGCGAAGGTTGACTAAACAAATTTTAACGCGTCTTCCGTATGGCCTCCGATCAGTTTGTTGAACGTTTCGGACGATAGCAAATTTCAAAGTGTCTCCCGTACGGCCTCCAGCATGATTTTGATCCAAATTGACTCGATCGGGTAGTCTCGAAATCAGATGGGTTTCCGAGCGAGAAGACGAACCTAATACCTACTATATCTTTCTAATTTGTGAGTTAAATCAACTATTGTTTCGATTTGAAAAGTCAAGAGTCCGATCGGCCAGTTGTGAATCGCAATTATGCGCCTCGACTCTGAAGAGACGCAGTTTCCGATCAGGTGAGGCCATCAAAATCAAGCTGCAGACCAGTTTGTTGAACGTTTCGAACGATTTGTTATGTCTCTCTGCGTAAACTTGTATTTATAATGACTGAGATTTCGGCGAAAGCGGCAATCGACGCAGTGTAAACATAGCGTCGAATTGCTGCTT